GACAATTAAATTATTTATATAAAATCAAATCTTTTATAAACATACCGAAAAAACAACATTTTGTAAACTATGATTATGCGTATGATTAACATATAATAATATGTTCATTAAGTATACGCATAAATCACGATGTTCATAATTGTGTCACTTATGAATGTTAATTTAATTTTTTAAGGACATATTATTGGGTCGATATTCTTCATAATTTAAAAGAATCAAATTTTGCACGAACAACACTGAAATTCATGTGAAAAATAACCGGACTAGCAATAGACGCATGGTACCTCCCATATGTATTAATATTTTACATATGGGAAAATATAGGAACTATATTAACATTTGGAAAAAATGGGTAAACTATCATTAGCGGGCGTTGCATCTCCCATATAAATTAAACACAGGTTCCCACTTTATCAATTCTGCAGCAGGTTCCACTAGAAGCGGTTCTACTACTCACGATAATTTTGAGAACAGGTTCCTACTTTATTTTTTATACATAAGAGTAGAAATACAAACCTGCGGTTGCGGTTGCGTTTTCTGGTTCCAAGAGAAAAGGTAAATTAAATGGAGTGCGGCTGCGGTTGCGGATTTTGTAGCCATTTTATTGTTTTTTGTTTTTGTATTTCATAGTTTACTTATTCACCACATGATTTTTGTTCATGGAAAGTATGAGTGGCATGGCAACTCTAAATGTAAAAGAGAGAAAATTCCTAAACAAATTAAAATGAATTTTAATTTGGATGGATTTCATCAACGATTTAAGTTGTCAAAACTCAATATAAAAAAATATCCGTCTCCGCAGCCGCAATATTGTATTTCTACTCTAAATGTAATACACAGGATAATTTTTAAAACCGGTTGCTCTACAATCGTTTCCATTAGAAATTTTTGACAAAAAAATAATACAATGGATAATATTGTGAATATGTCCACTTTATCAATTCTGCAACTGATTCTACTAGCGAAGAACACTGGGTATAGCTAGTAATTAATAATTACTTATCACCTTTGTGATGTACTTTACATGAAATTAGAACGCTTGAAAATGACAATGTTTTACAGATTCAATTGTATATTCTTACATACATACATACATACATACATACATACATACATACATACATACATACATACATACATACATACATACATACATACATACATACATACATACATACATACATACATACATACATACATACATACATACATACATACATACATACATACATACATACATACATACATACATACATACATACATACATACATACATACATACATACATACATACATACATACATACATACATACATACATACATACATACATACATACATACATACATACATACATACATACATACATACATACATACATACATACATACATACATACATACATACATACATACATACATACATACATACATACATACATACATACATACATACATACATACATACATACATACATACATACATACATACATACATACATACATACATACATACATACATACATACATACATACATACATACATACATATATAATATGCGAAGAAACTATAGAAACGACTAGAAACAGCTTCTGAGTTTGGAAAGCAAGTGATAATAAATTTAATAACAACACGTGCAATAAAATGCCCATAAAAAAGTGGTCATATAAAAAAGGAAATATTTGATGAAAAAATTATTGGCTTTCATAATCAGGGTTAAATTTGGCTTTTTAGTTTGTCGAAAAGGGTGAACTGGTTAAATTATAAGCCAGACATTATATTTAGTGGTTGATTATTTCACACCACAATTGCTTTCTGTACCTATAAAAAAGTGGGTAATCGAAAATCAAGAAATTTCATTTGGCAAACAAGATTTACATTACACATAACTTTAAATTATCCTTTCAACATAACTTAAAAGAATATATGTACATCCATACATATATATACTGGCAGGGGTTGAGCCAATTAGATGCAGATGGTCACAGATTTTTTTTAGAGTTGAGATCATGACACCAATAACAACACTAAATCAACAGAATGTTAAAAGCTTTCTGACCCAATAAAGTATACACATATATTCTGGATCCTTATAGATAGCGGAGTAGATTAAGCCATGTCCGTTTGTCTGTGTGTTTTGAAATCAATTTTCTTAAGACCCCAGATATCTTCGGGATCCAAATCTTCAATAATTCTGTCAGACATGCTTTCGAGAAGTTTTCTACTTAAAATCAGCAAAATCCTTCCGTATTTTCTGGTTGTACGTTGTTTTTATTCTTTGCATGCTTTGATAAAAAAAGCAACAACAACATAGTATTGGAAAAAAATGAATGTGTGTTGGTTAAAAAAACTTGGTTTCATTGTTTTGTGTATTTTGTTTTTCGTTTTTTTTTTTTTTAATACATAAATTGAAATTTTATAAAATTAATCTTTTCTAAAAACACTATGGTGAAGGGTATATAAGATTCGGCAAAGGCGAATATAAATTTTCTTACTTGTTTACAATTATTTAGCTTATTGTGATTCCTACGATTTTAGATGTTTACAATTAAATTTCCTACATTTTAGTTCAAGTTTTTTTTTGCATATCGTTAGTTATTTTCGACCATGAACCTGTTCTATCGTCTGACTCTGCGCTTTATTTATAGTTATAGAGACTGACAGCTTTATTGGGAACTGTCGTTGGCGTAAAACTAATAAAATATCTGTTGTTATGTTGTTGTAGGTCAAGGCAATCAAGGAAGCAAGGCAACTTCCTTCAGCAGAGCCTAAGAGAATAGTTACACAAATAAGATTTTTTGATAGCTTTATGACTAGTAATATTGTGTCATTTCATAATTCTTTCTTCGTGTTTCAAATTCTTAGCTTCATTTATCTACTTTCAATAAAAATATGTTTCAGACCAATACATTTTTGTGTTTTCTTAATATAAAGCGAATAAGCAGTTCTAGACACATATCAAAAATTATACGATTTACACTTGCATAATACTTTTTTTTCTATACATACTAGTAGGAATAAACATATGTACATATGTATGTATATATGTACATTAGGGATATAACTATAGACGTTTGCTGCTAATAACAGAATTGGCATAGCATAGTCGAATAGAGAATTATAAAATTAAAAACCACTGTATTATGGTCCAACAAATTATATTCATTGCTTATGCAATATGCATTGGCCATCACTTGGTGGTATGCCAAAAATTTCGTCAAAATTAGTTATACCCTAATGTACATTAGGGTGTCCCGTGGACCATTTTTTAGGAGGAATACCTCTAAAACGATGCGTTTCAATGTACTAAATACGAGAAAAATAAAAAACTTTTTTTAAAAGGTCCTCAGTTCCCTACCTGTGATCGAAAATCTTAATCTCAGTACAATATGTTCAAAAAATTTCTGCAATCTATTCGAATTGGGTGTAAAAAATTCCGTAATTTTGAGCTTATTGCGGGAAAAATAAATAAAATTTTAATTAGAGTATTTTGTTTTATAAGAGGCATATAAATCTCAAAAAATTCTAAAACGGACTAAACCAAATGCCAAACTATTTTTTAAATATTTTTCAGTATGACCTAAAAATTACGACAATTTTGACACCCATTTCCATAAAATCCGAAAACAATATGCCTCTCCAAATTTTGTGGACCAAAAATATTCTACAGAAATTTGGAAATTATTTTTCCCGTAATCAGCTCAAAATTATGGAATTTTTTAGACCCATTTCGAAAAAATCGAAAATATTTTATTTTTCAAAAATTATACTGAAGGTCAGGATTTTCAATCGCTGGTAGGGAACTGAGGACCATTCCAAACAAAATAATTTTTATTTTTCTTGTGTTCAGTACATTAACACGTATCGATTAAGTGGTATACCTACATGAAATTCTTAAAAAGGCTGTTCCTCGGGACACTCTAATGTACATATGTATGTATGTATGTATGTATGTATGTATGTATGTATGTATGTATGTATGTATGTATGTATGTATGTATGTATGTATGTATGTATGTATGTATGTATGTATGTATGTATGTATGTATGTATGTATTCTGTCTGTATGTATGTCTGTATGTCTGTCTGTCTGTATGTCTGTATGTATGTTTAGTCTGTATGTCTGTCTGTCGTCTGTCTGTGTCTGTCTGTATGTCTGTCTGTGTATGTCTGTCGTTGTATGTCTGTATGTCTTTGTCCTTCTGTTTTTGTGTATTTTAGCACTGTATCGCATAAGCAAATATCATTAATGTTCTTGTTTACATATCGGTTATTATCCCTATATGCCAGTGAAAATATGAAAAGAACTTATTTACATGTAAGTACATATGTACATTCTACTTGTGTATATACATATGTATAGGTCTATGCATGTATGTGGTAAGCACACAATCATTAATACATGGAAACTCAAATTTGTGTACATTAGACCTGCCCCTGTAATATAAAATTTGTAATATAACTTTTGAATGTAATTTGAATTTTTTATTTTAATATGAAAAATGGGGTAAAGAAATAATGAACGAAAAAGTGGTCTGCATACCATGGGAGTAAAATTTAATACATACTAATTCACATTGGCAGTAAATTATATTAGTACTGATTGTCGGTGTTTTGTGTTGTTTTTAACTAAAAAACCTTAGCACACAGTGAAAATCACAATGGGAGTAAATGCTTATTTTTTGTTAATTTAATAGAATTCACATAAAGAAAATGTTAACGAAAGAAATATTTCTTAACACCACAGGGGTTTTTTTGTTGTTTTTTTTATTTGTAAAAAAATAATGTTTACATTTATTTCTTCTTGGATAGGTAAATATGTATATGCAAAATTATCTAGTTTCTGTGTTACTCCCTGATTCAGTAAGGCAGGCTTAAATTTTGTATGAGAAACTCGTACTCGTACAAAATATGTATAAATGTGTATTTGTTTTATTTCAAATATTCCAAATTTTTATTGTATTGTACTTTTTAAAATTATTATTTTTGTTTAATTTTCAGGCGGAAATATGGAGTGTCTTCATTGCAATTTTACGTAAAAGTGTTCGCAATTTACAAGCCTGTACAGATGTTGGCCTCATCGAGCATGTCCTCGTGCGTCTACAACGTTCGGAAACAGTTGTGGCTGGTAAGAACAATTTTCTTGATATATGTACATTTAGAACAGACTTTTAAATACTTTGACTTTTAAAATTGGTTTATAAATAAACAATTTTATTTCAGACGACAACTGTGGCCAAAAATATTTTTATGGTATTCTATATATATTTTGCATAAAATTTAAGTGTAATGACAAAAAATATGGTTATTTACATAGTTAAGAAATTTAACTTTTTACAGAAATTTAATACATTTATTAATAAAAATTTCTATTAAAAAATTAGCCAAGTTTGGCTCTCAATTAACCGGGAAAATCGATTATAGGGTAATTCCACAGACATTTCGACCACTTCAAATTTTCAACCCTTTCAAAATTTCAAACTTTTCGAGTTATAACTCGAAACATATATTCTACTCCTAATTGCGGTTTCTATGGCGTATAAATTGGATCCTTAGCTTATACGGTTCATATGGTATGGGTCTCTAAATTTTGGCATGTCGGGTACTTTTGTTCAAAATTAGAAATGTTGACGACTGAATAACTTTGGAACCAGTTATCCGAACAAATGATGTTTCATTCGACAGGACTTCGATTACTCGTTTTTGACATTTCATTAAAATTACATGAAGTCCTGGCACAAGGACCATATAGTGGAAAATGTCCTCTATCCTTGAATATCTTAAAAAAAGTATATTTTGTTCCAATATTTCAATTATATAAGACATGATTTCATATATTATTCACCATCATATTTATAACATTAATTTGATGGTCTGTGGTAATTTATTAGACTATAAATGTGTTAAAATGTATAAAAAGCACTCATTTACTATGGAAATAGTAAATGTAGCCAAATAAAAACTCCTATAACTTCCAAACCCATTGAGATCCCTTTCTAAAATTTTTACATAGCAATAACAATAATTTTGTCTATTTATCATAAAAAAATTAAGAAAAACAAAAAATCCTTTTTTAAGATATTCAAGGATAAAGGACATTTTTCACTATATGGTCCTTGTGCCAGGACTTCATGTAATTTTAATGAAATGTCAAAAATGAGTAATCGAAGTCCTGTCGAATGAAACATCATTTGTTAAAATCGGATAAATGGTTCCAAAGTTATTCAGTCGTCAACATTTCTAATTTTGAACAAAAATACCCGAGATGCCCTACTTTAGAGACCCAAAAAATATGAACCGAATGGGTTAGGGATCTAATTTGTACGCCATAGAAACCGCATTAAGGAGTAGAATATATGCTCTTGATTTGAAAAAAATCGAAGCGGACAAAAATTTAAGACATCGTTTTTTGGTCGATTTATTTTGGAATTACCCTATACAGAATGCTTCCGGTCCCGACCATTACGGAAAATCGAGGTCCCACTGTAATGCAATATTATAGTTATAAATTACTATCCAACATAAAATTTTTAATCTCCCATATTTAACCATATTCCCAAAATTTTGGAATATTAAAAAAGTATTAGTTTTATTTTTTTAATGAAAAAAGCAACTCTAGTGGCTTGTTATCAAAGAGTTATTTAACGTTGATGGAAACAAAATGCAGTTTTTGTTGCTTCGAAGTATGGCCTACAATATTGGCAAAGTGGTCGTCTGAACCAAAGTGCATGGGTCAAATGATGTCTTTTTTTTTGCAACATTTGTTATTTTTAATAAGAAATGTACAAACATACATATAAAAATATGGAATTTAGTTGGAAAAATTTAGGTTTAGTCAATTCCGGAAAATAATTTTCAGGAAATTTCGAAATTTTTTTTAACGATTTAATCTAGATTTCGCTACAAAATATCAGCAGATGGAATAATAGCAGATGGAAGTTTGACAGCTGATGTCTGTTTTAAACCACCTGCAAATTATTTTAAATTATAATAGAGATCGTGTATATTATAATTATAAATAACATTCTTTAATTTATCGTTTATTGAAATATTTAATACATTTCCCGGGAATGAGAAACATTTTCGATTAATTACTAGAAACGAATATAGTCCAGGATATTAGAAACCATTGATAAAATTTAATGCCTTTCAATGTTATAAATGGCTTATTTTACTATTTATTAACCTCTCGTTCTCAGTGTCAGCATCGATTATAGAAATATGTTATAAAATTTTATAAAATAAGAAAGGGCAATTGTTGTCAATTTATTATGTGCGAGTATTAAACAATGTCAAGTCAAAGTAACAATTTTAACACACATACTGCAAGGAGTTTTTTTCGATGAAAATAAATGTTTGTATTTTATAAAGATGAACATGCTCTCCTTATAAAAGTTAAGCAAGGAACTCTTCTTACAAGCACGTCACCTAAACGTGACTCAAGAACACAAATAACAAGTATAAATAAAAATATAAAAAACAAGTAAAAGGACCATGACACTCAACTCAATTTATTTACAATAAACTCTCAATTGACAAATCCACGCAACAACTTGAAACATTAACCGTCTTCTCTACACTTAAATTGATGTGTAAATATGTGTGTATGTATGTACATATTTCTAAAGGGTGTTAAATGTTCATAAAGTGTCGTGAACTTAAGTCATATACTCATACGGATGCCCATATTTGGATGACAAAAACATAAAATAATAATAAAACAAAAAGGATATAATTAACTAACTACTACAGTAGATTGTTGTATGTGCAAACATACATATGTACATATACATACATACATACATATGTATATGGAAGAATACAAACGAGCATGAATAAACTTACTCGAACCAATATAGTTTAGTGGGCAAAGATATGTTTGGATATGTGGGTAGTACATAATCTAATGAAGAACAGTTTAGTCGTGTAAAGATGAATGTAAGAATGTACATATGTACTATGTAAATTAGTAGTGTCCAAAAATATCGATTTTGCTCAAATGGGTTTAAAATTTTAGTCAAATTGGATAACGGGAATTGGAATAGGAGGGTAAAAATTATGTCATTCGAATTATATTGTTTTAAAATTCGTTTTTAGTAAATATATTAGGAAAAAGTCCTATTTGTTATTTGTTCATCGATAATAATGGTATATTAATATTATATTATTATTATTATTATACCATGTTGAAAAGACAATTTCTCTAGAAGATAAGATTTTGTTTAAATATAAATAATAAATTAAAATCCAATAACCGGCGAACAGACAAGCAGACACTTTGATTGGATTACAAACGAACACGTCAACATGTCACTCTAACCAACAAAAGACAATGGAGCAGGTGGTATTAAAATTTTGACATCTTCGTTTACAAGCACCCTTTATAGCCAGATGATATACACGAAAAAACATGTGTACATACATACACTAATATTAAATGAAGTCACAAATATATGTTGTATATATACAATACTCATGTAAATTAAAAGTAAAACAACAATATAAAATAGACAATAAAAACGTACTTTATTTTTTTTTTTTTTTGTATTTCAGATTATTACAAAATATGGGCCGTTTTAAAGTAGTTTTATCTATTTTCAAAAATCTTTATTATTATAACAAATATATGTATGTTCGGTGTGAGAGTGATTTTTTATTGTAAACGTCAAAACTAAAACTCATGTTTTTATTTACATACAATTTGAAAAGTAAATATGTATTTAGTTAAAATTCGGATGAGGAACAAATTCCACTATTAGGGAAGAAATAGTAAAATATATGAATCTCGTTTAATTTTTAATTATGCCAGTCTTGTAGTACATTAGCAATATGTGCATACATATGTGTATAATAGATTATGATAATTTGATAAAATTTCTTTATTGATACTTTATAGGTACATGTTTTACTTTTGTTTACGACATGAAAATAAAAGATTTGTTTCTCTACATTCCTTAGATTATTTTGAAATTATTTTATTATACTACATGATTTTGTGTCGTAATTAACTGCCAACGTACATATGCATTGGAATAGAAGGAAACATTATGCATTTTCAGAGAATACAAAATATGAACTAAATCTGCGTAATTAGGTTATATTGTTATACTCATTTTAAATAAATTACAAACAGTAAATGAAAATATATGCCACACCATACTGGAACCACTAATTCCACTCTTAAAGATTTGAGCGACATATGTACATTAGAGGTGCCCAAAAAATATGAATTTCGCTTGGATGGGTTTCATTTTGTTCATTAGTGTCTAAAACTAACGGGTTAAAAACTAAGCAAAAATTGTCCAAAGGAGTTCAGACATCTATTTCTATTTTTTTATTATACAAAATTCGCTAATAGAGGATTACCATCTACTAAATATGGAAACAGATTAGTAGATAATAGTTAGCAATTTTTTCATGAATATTGCAGAAAAAAACGTCATGTACAAATTAATACATCCTATGAACTTTTAATATTTTGAATGAAAATGGTTTGGGAAAAAAGGTCATGTTCGATTCATACAATTTATTACAAAATTCATTCAAGTTATGTATTTTTTTTTCTGTGTACTTACATATATATTTTCTTTAATGTTTAATACAAACATTAAAATAACGATGGCCGTTCGTGAGCTGGACCGGATACAAAAAGTCCTTTTTTAGTTATTTTTTTAAATTTTACAATATTTTGTAACGGTGTATAAAATTTTAAAAATGTGAATAAATTTTATTTACGTATGTATTTACGTATGTATGTATGTATGTATGTATGTATGTATGTATGTATGTATGTATGTATGTATGTATGTATGTATGTATGTATGTATGTATGTATGTATGTATGTATGTATGTATGTATGTATGTATGTATGTATGTATGTATGTATGTATGTATGTATGTATGTATGTATGTATGTATGTATGTATGTATGTATGTATGTATGTATGTATGTATGTATGTATGTATGTATGTATGTATGTATGTATGTATGTATGTATGTATGTATGTATGTATGTATGTATGTATGTATGTATGTATGTATGTATATTAATAACAACCATAATTTATTTTTTTTTTTTTTATATTATCGGCAATAACTCTTAAGTTTACGAACGGTCGCAAAATTCAGGACAGAGAACATATCAAGGCGTCGATTTGTGCAATAACCATTAAAATATCCTCTGACATTGCTTGGCACTAGGTTTTGAAACTTAAAGTTTTTGAAAAAAATTCATATTTAAAAGGTTTAAATAACAAATTTTCAATAATTATCTTCAAATTACTAATAATTTTCATTTTTATTTTAAGCACCAGTTCCATCTGTTTAATTAACTATCATTTCATGTAAATATTTTTGACTCATGTAAATATTATATAATATTTTTGAAATATAAATTATAATCACAAAAATATGAAAATTTGACTTTGACCTCATGTCATTTGTAAACGGTGACCCACAATGATACAAAATTTTACTAGTGTAAAGCTTAAAGTCCCCAGACTTAAATTATATATAACATTTTTTCTTCTCTACCTAATATGGACTTTTTGCCAAAAAATGGGATCTCTGACCCAGTGTGCGATTATTTAAGATTAATACATCATTGGACGCGGTTTTAAAAACACTTTCAAGTGATACCACATTTTTAATACATTGTTTCAAAACAAACCTAAAATATCAAAAAAATGGTTCAAAACAACCTTTTTAAATTTGGTCCAGCTCACGAACCGCCATCGCTAGACTTAAAATATTTTGGGAATTATCATAAAACAATGCAAGGTAAATTTTGAGAGGGGTAACAAAAACACGATTTTGCTATCCATGCAGAGTGAGTTGAGCAATTTTTGGTTGTTTTTAAAACAACTTTTTAACTCCTTATTTGTAAGTAGTAATTTGTAAGCGAGCGTGGAAAGTATTTGCCTTCAATCACCGTGTTAAAATAATGAGTTAAAATGTTAATGAATATGTAATAGCGGCTTTTTTAAGCATTTTAACTCATTACTTTTGAATGCAAGTTTTTGCTGGGTACATACATATTTACACTGACACTAACAATTGTCGTACAACATGTATTTAAAAACATATTTTGTAATATTTTCTAAAATATTTGTCCGATATACAAAAAATTAGTTTTTTATCGTAAGATAAAAAAGATACTGTCCTAATAAAATTTTTAATTGGAAAATTTTAAAATAATGCTCTATGCTTTTGTAAATTGTTTCTTAATTGCAACACCTCTATAATCTAACTCAAAAAATTTCCCGTACATCATAATGCTTAGAACTTAAACGTGTCTTAAATTAGGTAATAATTAATTCTATATTAGCTATTTTTTTTCTTATAAATTCCCCATATGTGTTTTATGGGATTTAGATCCCGACTCGGAGAAGGGTAGGAAGTTCTTCTTTTACGTTGTCACGTAACCATTCGCTCTAAAATTTCGACGAGCGGTTTGGATGGTTATCATAAACGAACAATCGTCTCATATGCCTAATTTTACAGCATTGGCTTCCAAATGTTGTTTAAAAATATTTAATTAATTATATTATCCAATGTCCTTCCACGAATATGATGTTTCCGAAACATCCTACAGACATTATACTCTACTTGTTTTTGTTTACGCCACACAAATTTCGGCTTTTTGATCCGAAAATGTTGCATTTACTTTCATCTGTAAGAAAATATAGTTTTCCAGTTGTATTCCGCTTTGTTTGCGTAATATTGGGATACTTCAAGCGATCCTCACATTCTTTACAGAAATAAACACTTAGGTGGAACACATGCCTTATATTGATTCAGACGATGAAAATTTTGTATAGTTTGTGCTTAGCTATTTCAATGACACTAACTCCTAAATCATGTCTCATATCGGTTCAAATTTCCGCGGCCTCTATATGTAGACGTTACTAATTTTCCCGGTTATTTTGTGCATTTCTACAATACATTATACAGAAGACAAACAAAAAATGTTCCTTCATTACTCATTTAAATTATTAATTCTTTGATTTTGATAGGATCTTTGGTTCCGGCATTAATTTGTATGTTCAAGAAACTTGTTTTGGATTTATTTTAAAAATTAAAAAATTATGTGTACTAAGTTTCAAAAAAAAAAAAAAAACATTTTTAGAGAAAAAAGCTCCTAGAATCGAATTTGTTCACGAGTATTTAAAATATTTGGCTTATTTTGCCTAAATTTTTGAGTTTCAGTTTAAAACGGAATTTTGGATTATTTTAACTTTAAATAAAATATATAATAAATAAAATATGAAATAAATCAATTATAAATTTTTGAAATATTTTTATTACGTTCTATATTAAGTAAGGACTACTGGATATAATTTGATAAATGTTTTTTGGCTATCGGTGGGCTAATGATTAGGTATGGAAAACAATCCGATTACATTAGCAACTTATAAAACCTTCAGCTTACGTCGGTTACTTTTTTCATTATATCTTTCTAGCAAGAAGACAAAAGTTGGTTTGTTCGAAATACCACATACTTACTTATATTGTAGATAATATATCTGTAATACACATATTATTATTTTCTTCACTAGATGCTATTCATTTAAAAATATCAAAAAGAAGAATGATTGCTGTAAGTAATCCAACTGCTCCTTTAATCAGAATATACTTGAAGAAGATTATTCACTCAACTGTGTGATTTCTTTTCTATTTTTGAACTCATGTGGATAAATTCATTATGCAGTCAACACGTGCACAATTAATAAAGCCTAATGAGCACACAATCAACATTGGAAGATGTCTGATAAAAATAAGAAACAAGAGCAGGAAAAACTTAAAATATATCCACCAACCAACGAAAGAACCAAAGAAATCGAGGAAAAACTTATAAAAATCTCTTACATTAAGATAAATTTTTATAGATAACAGTTTGAAAAAAAACATCTGCTTAAATTCGGTTAGCAAACGTAAAGGTTAATTAACTTCTTCATGTGTTGTAATTTCTATCGGGATGCTGTGTGGCAAGGAAAAGTAAAAAAGAAAATGAAATTTATACAAACTTCCGTTTCGATAGTATTTAGACGTGAGAAAACTGACAAAGTATATTTATACAAACATATGTATATGTAAAAATATTATGAGGGTGCCTCGCAAAATAAAATTGTATATAAATATAACTCTCTTCAATTTTCCACTACAGATTAATTTTAGAACCTGTACATCGAACATTTTTAATATATATATTTTTTTTAGTTTTCTATTTATGACCAATATTGTTGACAATTTTTAGTTTTTAAGATTCCAATCTTACGGGCTATTTATGGCCAATCATTTGTCACCAAATGTATAAATAAAAATCAAAATATTTAAGAAATGAAAAAATATACGAGAAATATAGTTAAAATTTATTCAATTTTAGAGACATTGCTACAAGAGATTCGCAAAAGTGTTGCGAATAAGCTTGTTTCAGCATTTTATTGCATAAAATTTAAACACCAAGAAACTGAAATGTTTTTTTTACGTTTCTTTTTAGATCTTCTTATCGAAATGTTGGGTGTTTTGGCGAGTTATAGTATTACTGTTAAAGAACTAAAATTACTGTTTGGTACGATGAAAGCTGTAAATGGTAAATGGCCTCGACACTCGGCAAAGCTGTTAAATGTTTTAAGACAAATGCCTCATCGCAATGGTCCGGACGTATTTTTTAGCTTCCCAGGACGTAAAGGATCTGTAAGTGCTATTTCTATGTTAGCTTGATTTTATTTTATAATATAAATTATAATATATTATTCGATTTAATTTATCTATTTTGACGATTACAGGCAATGGTTCTACCACCATTGGCTAAATGGCCATATGAGAACGGTTTTACATTTACAACATGGTTTCGTTTGGATCCTATTAATTCTGTGAATATTGAACGTGAGAAACCCTACCTCTATTGGTAAGCATTTTCTTTCCAATTTGTTACATTTTTAGTTAATTGTAATTAGTAAGTTCGTTGTCATACAATGAACGTATTTGTAATATCTTTCATTTCATTATATTTTTTTTTTTTCACAGTTTTAAGACATCAAAAGGTGTTGGATATTCCGCCCACTTTGTTGGCAATTGCCTGGTACTAACCTCAATGAAAGTTAAGGGCAAAGGATTTCAACATTGTGTAAAATATGAATTCCAACCTAGAAAGGTATGTATGTATGTTAAAATACGTGTTCATAGACATATATACATATTTGCATATAACCTACCAACAACTCAACTAACTGTAAATACATAAAAAGCCGACTTTTTCATCAACTAGTTAACATTAATAAAAAACAAAGAAAATATAACTTTATGTACTAAGTAGTATTTAGAAATAAATCTGAGGAAAGGCGACTTTACTATCGTTGTTTTTCGAAGTTATGATAGCGAAAACGATACCATAATTTCTTGGAAAACCATATCATAAGGAAGGTACCATTTATCACCGAAGTGATATCGTTATAATATCGTTTGGTTTATTGGGTAGTTAACTAAATAACACTTCCGTTAGCTCTAGTTTTTGAGATAAAGTCGACATGAAAGGTATTTAAGTCTAATTTCATCCGTAATTTACATTGTTACAAACTTGTTTTTGTTACCCCTCCCAAAATTTACCTTACTTTGTTTTATGATGATTCGCAAAATATTTTAAGTCTAGCTATGGCCGTTCGTGAGCTGGACGAAAATTAGAAAAGGTATTTTTGAATTATTTTTTTTTTTTTAATTTTAGTTTTGAAAGAATATATTCAACATGAGGTATCATTTGAAAGGTGTTTTAAAGGCGTATCCTATGATGTGTTAATCATAAATAACAGTCTCCTCATAATTGTCATATATAATTTTGCAAATTGTGTACACCTTTAGACGCGGAGTTGAAATCCCTTTCAAATGATACCACATATTGCATATTTTGCTTAAGAAAAAACTGCAAAATTTAAAAAAAATAATAAAAAGGGTCTTTTTTGTAACCAGTCCAGCTCACGAACGGCCATCGATGGATTCGATATATTTTGCGAACCATCATAAAACAAAACAAATATTTTTTGAAGCTGGGTAAAATATTGAGTTGAACATAAAAAATCGTGTCCCCCATAGGATATTTTCATGAAAACTGTCCAGCTCACGAACGGACAATATTAAATCCAAAATATTTTGGTTAACATCATATTACATAACAGAGAATATTTTAAGGGGGTAACTCAATCACCAATTTTTGTGAGTCGGTCTAATATACATACATAGATACAAGTTTTTGCTTTGTCTAATAATGAAATATTTACTTTTTTCTAAACAGTGGTACATGATAGCAATTGTGTACATTTACAACCGCTGGACAAAAAGCGAAATAAAGTGCCTGGTTAATGGACAATTAGCGTCCAGTACTGAAATGGCGTGGTTTGTCTCAACAAACGATGTAAGTATATTTAATACAAAAAAATTTTTTGTTTCGGTAATCATAAATATTTGGTTTCGTTTCTTATTTTTTAGCCATTTGACAAATGTTATATAGGGGCTACACCCGAGTTGGATGAAGAACGTGTCTTTTGTGGTCAAATGTCTGCTATATATTTATTTAGTGAGGCTTTGACTACTCAACAAATTTGCGCAATGCATCGTCTTGGGCCAGGTTATAAGGTAAAATTAATTTATGTTTTGTTTTGTTTTGTAAATCTTGTAAATTCTATATTAATTCAATCATTTTTCAATTCTATTAAAAATATAATTTTTTAAATGTTAAAAAATAAAAAAATATAAAATTTACACAATCCCTTATTTTTCTTTCTTCTTTTTCTACAATAAATCAAACATAATTTGTTACCAAAAATTGTTTTGCACTCTTCTGTAATGTACATCACTGAATATGCTGATACCAAATGTTCACCGCCAACAAATATGCGTTCAAAATATCTGTGTATTTGTTCCTTTTTATTATTATTTTTGCCAAACAAATCATGCACAAAATTCAAAATATTAAAATAACCAGTCACAATTCCGCTTCGATAATGAGTGCTATTTGAACCTGCCGGACAATCATAAAAGGGTGAGTCAACAACAGTTACTACAGCAACAACAAACACCAACCCAACATACCGCCGCATTGTTATTAGCCGAAGCCGATGTCCAATCGATTGATTGGGCGGATGAAAAGTTAGACCTGCAAGCTGCATTTGCAAAGATACGTACTGTCTTGGCAGCTCGAAGTGCTAATGCAAATGCTGTCTTACAGGCCTTAACGGTTGGAGGCAGTGGATCAACTGCAAACTCAACCGAGGTCCACTCCTCATCGGCTACGGTAAACGCAACATTAGGCCAAACCAGTTTACAAAATAACAATAGTCCAAATACAACAACCATAGGCGAAACGACAACAATAACAACTAGTGAAAGTCATTTGTCTAAAATCACCGATTCTTTAAGTCACATGCCCATTAGTTCGGCTTCCCCTCTTGGTATTTATTTTCATTTATTTTGGTTTATTATTATTTATTTATTTATGGTTTTATTTTTTGTGCTTTTGTTTTTTTTTTTTTTTTTTGTCTTCTTATTGTTTTTAGATCAATTACGTCGAATGTCTTCTTCGTCTATTAGCACTTTGGACTACATGAAATCCTTTGCTGGTGATGTGGAAGAAATTAATCAGTTAAAGGCTGTAAGAGTTTTTTATTTGTAAAATTATTTCTTATGTTTGTATTTGCAATCGTATTTATTTGTATTATTTTTACTATCGGAATAACGTTATTTATCTTATAAACACATATGTACATATCGTCACCTAAAACGCAAACGGATTATCTAACATTTTTAATATTTTATATGAGAAGCAAAAAACAATTTAAATTTAAAAGTTTGTTTCTGTCAGCACAATTTATTATTATTATTATTATTATTATTATTATTATTATTATTATTTATATTATTATTATATATTATTTATATTATTATTATATAAACAAATGGATTATATATTAGACTATTGTCTAGTCAAACCTATAATTTATTAACATAGTACACAATGATGTACATATACACATAAAAAGAGGATAAATTGTTCTTTTTACCTTTAAGGTCTTATTCAAAAACTTTTATCAAGGTTTATAAATCAAATTTTCATACAAAATTTGTTCTATAAACCTTTAATAAATGTTTATGAATAAGGCAGTTAATGTTTGAAAGTTTTTTAGAAATCCCTACTTTTGTTTTTTAATAAAATCGCTAATATTAGTCGGATGAGTCAAATTTTTTGGATATTTGTTTTGGTGCAATACATTAGAATCAACAATAAAATCGATTTACGTTTCAGGTGACGATATATACATACAGCGTTTGCACAATGTTTTTCGTACGCACTCCTTATTTTTTATTCAAATATCAATATTGATTAAAAGAAATAGCATATTCGCACAATTTAAAATGGTGACGTGAATACCTTTAATCATTTACCTACATACATGAATGAAAAAAATAGTTTTGAGCATTTAACTATTTTTAAATAACTTTCAAACTGATTGCCGGATTTGAAAAATAAAAGTAGGTTTTAAGAGCATTCTCATCTTAATTTAAACCAAATTTTTACTTATCAAATATAAGTGAAACAATGTGCACAATGTTTTTTATATTTTTAAGTTTTTTTTTTATGGAAATTAAAATATTTAAAGGTAATTTAACAATTTTGTACATCATTAGACGCGGAATTTAAACCACTAAAAATAAATAAAAAACCTAAAAAATGCATACGATATTTTGGGTAACGTCATTAACATAAGAAAGTATTTTCTATGAGTCCATGATTCCAACTTCGACCTTATCCTTTACCATTATTGTGAAGAAATTCCACATAAGCGTGTTTTGTAAGAACCAGGATACATCTACCAAATCATAAGGATCGGTACATAATTGATCCTTCCCCATATAAGGTAGCCTTCATAACTGGCTTTGAAGTGCCATTAGAGTGATGAAATGATTTACTTTAATAAACGAATCACTGACTCATGCCCTATTGTGAAAATCACCCTGTGCCTCGTATTTCTAGAATCGAGAAAAAAATTAAAAGGATTGTAGATTTTTGTAATTTTTTCATTTGATCACAATACAAATATCATTCAGAAAATGGCTCGAAAGCTCATAACTCACTTATAAGCACTAGTATTAAAATGAAGTTCGACATAAAAAGATTTTTTTTATAAACATAAATCCCGCCAATTCAATAAATTTCTAAAATATTTCGAATTTAAGTATAAATTCAACACAAATGTTAATTTTTCTACTATAAAGAATAAATCATTATTCTAAACATACTTATGTGGGGTACATTATTGACGGTTAATCCAACTATAATTTCTTACTTGTTTTTTATTAAAATAAGTATCACAATTTCACTGGTATTTCTTAATAGATTTACTTTGTTAAAAATTGTGTTTGGACAATATGCGGTATCACGTGTTGATTTTTGTGATTTTTACTAAAACTTATTTTATAACATTATTAAACTTTTTGCAATTTATTTTCACAATTTTATTTATGCTTCCACCATATAATACTGATTACATTGTAATATATAAAATCTAAAAATTTTAAATTCGGCTACGCTGAAGCTTTTGTACCCACCACCAAAATGTGATTTTTTTTATAAAATCACTCATTTACTACAAGACTACAAGCATAATCCAAAAAAGTAATTTCGAAAAAAATTACTTCGAATGGTTAATGACATTTTACTATTTTTTTATATAACTTTTAAACAAAACAAGGATCTTGAAAAATTAAACTACACAGAAAAAAGTTCCAGCATAAATATTATGAACTGCTTTCAGTGACTAAAGTTAATAATATTTAAGGATAAGTTCTTAAATTGTATGAATTTTTCCATTTTTATTTTTTAAAAATAATCTAGAAGCCTTTTCTTAAATATTAAAAATTGTATTTCTATTTGATACAAATCTTTGAAATTTTCTTTGGAATTTTTTTTATTTCTTTATGGTTTTTAGATTGAAAACAATGAAATATGCGCGTAAATTGTAGGATTGTATGGATGTTTAACTATATTTGTTAATGTTTTTTATTTCATATTTTGTTTTCTAATGTTTTTATTTATTTATCATATAAAATTAATATATAATTAATATTAAACAGATTAATAGTTAAAGGATATTTTTTATGAAAAACAAAGAAAATAATTAAAAAAAACAAAAAAAAATCGTTTATGTACAAATTCATACATTATATGAACTTTTTTTATGAACTCTTTTGAATGAAAATGGTTTGGGAAAAAAGTCATGTTCGATTCATACAAATTGTTACAAAATTCATTCAAGTTATGTATTATTTTTTTCTGTGTAGATTAAAATAGTAAAGTTTTATATGTCTGAAATTTAATTTTTATTTATACAATTTTTGTAAAAATATAAGTTTAATTTTACCTTTACTACAAAAAATCGATCTCACACCTAAAATAATATACATATTTGAAATTTGATAAATCTGTATGAAAGGCTTTAGAATGATACATATTTGTTGCCCTTAGTTTAAAAACCCGAATTTTCAATTATGCCAGTAAATTGTAGTAAATGACCGATTTAATAAAATGTATTATAAAAAGTTAGAATTTAATTCAAAAACTTATTAAGATTATCCTAACAGTGTTATTTTTTCAAACAAAATAAGAATTTTTGGACCGCGTAGGGACGAATGTTTTTTTATATAATTAAATTTTTGGTGGTAGCTATACAATAGGTTTGTAACTTTTTGCAATATCGAAAATACCTTAACAATACCTTGTAGAGGTGTATGTTACGCAATATGATATTATGTTTTCGATATCGTGAAAAAAGTTCCCGCACCAACCGCGATGAAGTTTTGTATAAATATCACGTTTTTTTGAAATGAGAGAAATTTATACTTTGGTAATAATTTTGCAAGTTTTTTTACATTATCTATATATTCAAAAAGTGCTAACTCAAAAATGTCCAGTTTTAAGAAGAAAATTTGAAAAAACAAGGTTCTCGAACGTAACAAAAATAGTAGTTGTTTCTTGGGGAACAATTCAATCGTCGATTTTAGCGACTGATATGTCTTTAAAACTGTTGCTAACTGATATGTCTTTAAAATTATTATACTTTCACCCAAAAATTATTTATATTTTTTTAATAATCATGTTCGAATGCACAGTGGTATAGAAATAAATAAAGATGGATATAATTCTGTAACTTCTAAAGGGTTTGTTCGATTCTAATGAAATTCACATACTTAAAGAGAAAATGTTGATGAGTTTACGTTTTAGCCAGAGGTTCGTAAAGGAGGACATCTCTAGTATGTAAAATTTTTAAAACTATTCTATTTCTTCGTTTGTGTTCCTTTCGATCACATATTCACCAAAAAAAAAAATTTTTTTGGAATTTTTTCAAAATTTTTTTTGGGAATTGAGGGATTCGTGATAACAAATATTACATTTTTTCACTTATTTTCTCAATGAAATAGTTTGTTTAAATTTTAAAATATTTGTTTTCGCAAAAATACAAAAAAAACTTTTTTTGCCATATTTTTTAAAAAATTATTTCTTAAAGAATTTCTGAAAAGTATACTTATTTTCCAATCCATTGAGATATAAAACCTCTTCACATGTAAAATTAAGGAGGAAATATTTAACATTTCATGGTAAAATTGGCTCCCTTGGTTTTATCATCATTGTGTTGGATACGTGACGTATACGTATTATTTAATTTTAGTACAAATTTACAATTTTACCATGAGATGTGAACTATTTAATCTTTAATATGTCATGTGAAAAGTTTTATATATCGGTGGATTAGAAGTTTAGTCTACTTTTCAGAAATTCATAAATTTGTTTATCAATTTTTTTTAAATGAGGCAAAAATCTTTTTTGTTGAATTCTGCGGAATCAAATATGTATATAAAATTTTTAAATTTGTTATCACAAATCCCTAAATTCACAAAAAAGTTTCAAGTTAAGTTAAAATTTAGGCGAATAAAAGAAAAGTGAATAAAATCGGGAACCCGCTGATGCGATCGGTAAAAACGTTGAAAATTTAATTTTCAAATGCCAATATCATGAAATTTTATAATGGGATATAGGTACGTTTATATAAACCTTATCTATTCTAAATTGTAAATGAAAAACTCTCTATCTTATCCAAAAATTGCTTCAAACTCTATTATTTTGGATAATTTTCTGTTGCAAAACAAGTGTTTTTACTAAATCTACAAAAATATTTCAATTCGGTTTAATAGTTATCGAGATATCGCTCATTATGACACTAATTTGATTAGTTTTATAGCCGTGTTTAACCATATAACATTGATTTTGGACAAAAATCTTATAATCTGTTGCTTTTTCAACAATTTGGTTTATATTACTTCAATAAATTTCATAAAATATAATATTTATTGATATTAAATCAAATCTGAAGGTTGTAAAAAAATTTTCGTAGAAAAAAAGCTCTATCTGATATAAATTTTGTGAATAATTTTGCAAATAATGCAAAATTTTAAAATCTTTTTATATAACGAAAACTTGCGTTATTTTAGATAGAGACTATTGAATATAGTCCCTCGATATATTAATTTCTCAATTTCAATTTGTAATTTCTTAATATAATGTTGGAATTCTGAATTTCAGTTTGTTTTTCTCGATGTTAATTTGCATTTCTTAATTTAATTTTATTATTTCGCAATAATAATTTGGATTTCTCATTTTCAAATAGGTTTTTCTCAATATTAATTTAAATTTCTGAACTTTAATTTTTAATTTCAATATGAATTCGTATTTTCTCAATTTAAACTTATATTATGAATTATGGACTTTTAAATAATTTGCTGAAAAAATACCTCGTATGGGGGCTTGGGACAAATGAGGTCCATTCAATACAAAAATCGGCGGTACGGTTAACTGTCATAAAATTATAGATCTGCTGATTTTTGTAGAAATATTTGTAGATTTAACAAAATTATCAGCTGTAAAGCATTATTTAGGGATCCGGTTGTATGAGACCTAACCCAGCAAAAAAAGTGTGGAAAAAGATGTAGAATTTTCATCACAACTAGTAACCCGAAGTGCTTCAAATTCGGGTTAAAACCTATGAATTTTACATTAGCGTGTCATTGGAGGGATGTTGTTCATTTTGGCAACTTTGAACTACATCTAATCTTATTTTTAGAAGCAGTAAAAATCCGATATTTGGATTTTAAAAATAAAACACATTCTCTTAATGACACGCTTATGTAAATTTCATTACTCTTTCACCAAATCTTAATGTACTTCAAATATGTTATTTGTAATGACTTTTCCACATCTCTTTCCTCACTTTTAACTGGGGTTTCATTTGTAAGGAAATATTTGGTTTATAAAAGTGAAAAATATGTAATCGCATTTTAAGATGTGATTAAGATGTAGTATGTAAAGTATGACATCAAATATTTTTTGCTGGGAAGTGAAATAATGGAACGATTTTATACATGGGCAATTTTGTGTCAAGTGACCAAAGGGTCAAATTTGGATATTTTGGTCATACAGGGTTTTATTCAAATGAGTGTAACTTTTCACTATTGGTCCTAACAAAAAGAAGTTCAGATAGCTTTTCTTCGTTGTTTTCAAAAATATGTTTTATTTTTTTTAATGTTTTTTTTTTTTTTTTTGCTCAGAAGAAAGCTTATACAATTTCCTTTAAGGGCTTTATAGCCCCGTAATGGTATGCGAGTTTAATTCACTTTTTTAACTTTTTAGCATAATTTTCCCATATTTTTCAAAATGGATGTATTTGTTTTATTACAAAAGAAAGGTTAGATTATTTTCTTTAAGAGCTTTAACATTTTTAATAGTGTCTCGATATGTCAAGGAAAAAATATTTTCTTAAAATATAAAACAAATTTCTCTAAATGCAAGGAAAAAATTATTTAAAAGGATACTTCATAAAATATAAAACAAATTCGAACTAAATTAATAATAAACGCCAATTTTCTTATGAAAAATATCGTTAAAAAAACGCATGTACATATTTGAGCAAAACTCCGATCTATTCGAAAATTTAAAAATCAAAATTTTGAAAAAACGACAGTAGTGAAACTAAAAAACGACTTTGAAACACAAAGTCGATCACCCTAATATGTAGTAAATCAATTACACAAAAGATTTGCCATCTTGTACAAAATACAATTTCATCTGATGTTGTTTTTATTTCGCTTTTAATTATCGAAATTATTAGAGTGTGAACTATTGGCACAAATCAATTGAAAACACATGTGTACACTTGTATACATACATATATCGATGAACACATACATATATATATATATATATATATATATATATATATATATATATATATATATATTAGGGGTATGAATTTTTAATATTTTTGGAAAATATCAGATGATTCGAACTTCTTAGATACCGCCTTTGTCCTGGGTTCAAATGGTAAAAATGTCCTTTTTTAAGGTTTTTTTAATACATACATAATGTATGTATATGTCTTAATTAAATAGCCAATACAAGATCGAGTGGAAAATCAGTTTTGAAAAAATAAGTTAATTAATCAAAATAGGACCAGCTGACCAATGGGATCTTAACATGAACTGAATTTTCATTTTCGGAAGGAACATGAGCAACTTCCATTTTGGGGTCATCCTAATGTACATGACACGTGGAATATATTTTTAATTGAAATCAATATATTTCTCCGTAGTTGATGGATTGAAACAAAATACGAATCAAAACAATGCACAAAAACAAGTACTCTAAAGTTTTTTGAGTGAAATGAAAATAAAAAAATTATTTTATTTTCTGAAATGTATTCTACTTGAGATGTACTTTCATATAAACAAGCGTTAGTTAGTTATTCTACTGGAGATGTACTTTCATATAAACAAGCGTTAGTTAGTTAGTTAGTTAGTTAGTTAGTTAGTTAGTTAGTTAGTTAGTTAGTTAGTTAGTTAGTTAGTTAGTTAGTTAGTTAGTTAGTTAGTTAGTTAAAATGCTCTTGGTCTATGTAGATTTAATGTTTTTAGCTTTACTAAAACACTTTTAATAAAATTTTTTTAAGATATATTTTATGGACAAATAAAAAGTAAAGGAAAGAGCCGAAAGTGAAAAATTAAAATTAAATTTTTATTTAATAGTGTTCATTATAGGCATTATATCTTAGTACGGCACAATGTTGTTGTAATTAAAATTTTATGCTAATAATACGGACAAAGAAACTCAATAAAAAATAAAATGAAAAAGAAATAAACTATGTATAATTAACAATCAAGGAATAAATTAACATACATATGTATTGAATGCTATTTTTTTTTGTTTACTTTAGGTTCTATATGACGGTAAATTATCTAACGCCATTGTATTCATGTACAATCCAGTGGCAACCGATGGTCAACTATGTTTACAGTCAGCACCCAAAGGAAATGTATCATACTTTGTACATACACCACATGCACTTATGTTACAAGTAAGTATGGGATAAATATAATAAATAAACCTACAATGCATAAATATGTATTTACCATGAAATTCGTAGGAAATTATAATTTTGTATAGTCAAAGGGATTGTTCTCTATATCATATGTATTTATTGTGGGCAAGTTTTGCTAAACCCCAACTACCTACTTATGGTGCTTTATTTAATGCTGTGACTGGAAATTCCTTTGGTCTTTCTCTTGAGATATTTTTTCTTTTGCTTCATTTTTGTCATGTTTCATGCAGTAAACTTTAGAATAAATATAAAATTGCACAAGTTTTTATACTTTTGTATCATAACAGTTTTTTTTTAATTTCTCCGTCTTTGCGTTTTAGGATGTTAAAGCTGTTATTACACATTCCATACACTGTACATTAAATTCTATAGGTGGTATTCAAGTTTTGTTTCCACTTTTCTCACAATTGGATATGGCCCATGAGGGAATTGGCGATATGAAACGTGACCCAACATTGTGGTAAGTTGTTTAGTTCATTTGTACATACTTAGTGGTAAATATTTTCGATATTTTTGTGTTTTGTTATTTTCAGCTCGAAGCTTTTAGGTTTTATTTGTGAGTTGGTTGAAACTTCACAAACCGTGCAGCAGCACATGATACAAAATCGGGGTTTTTTAGTTATATCATTTATGCTGCAACGATCGTCTAGAGAACACTTAACTCTAGAGGTGTTGGGCTCATTTCTTAATCTAACTAAGTATTTAGTTACGTGTCTATCGGCCAATAGTGATTTATTGCTCAAACAGGTAAGATATTTTATTTAAACGTATACATATGAATGTATGTAGCCGCTACAAATTTCTTTTGTCTGAAATCCTGTTAAAAATTTTAACGTTACCAATTTTGATTGAGAAAAGCTGGCATGTGTAATACATGTGTGTAGAAATTGTAAAATCGACAATGCATGACAATGTTTATTATACATACTACTTAATATTTTAATTATTTTTTTGTAATACAAATAATTAATTTTTATTGTACTTGTTTGTTTTCTTTTTCAATTCTATTTTATGTAATAAAAACACACACACAAACACAGTTAAACATGGGCTTGCGATATCCCTTTAAAAAAGTAATTTATTAATATGTTTCTTAAGATTAGAGTAAAACACTTTTTGATTACAAATAGAATAAGTATGTACATTAGGCTCTCCCGTGGAGCTCTTTTTTCTAGGAATACCTCTCAAATATAAGTTTTACTGAACACGAGAAAAATAAAAATTAATGTTTTTCGAATGGTCCGCAGTTCCCTACAATATTTAAAAAAAAAAATATTGCGACAATTTTGACACCTATTTCGGTAAAATGCGAAAATAATTTCCATCTCAAACTAAAAATCATTTTGTGGACTACACATACTTTAACAAAATTTTAAAATTATTTTTCCCATAATCAGCTCAAAATTACGGAATTTTTGAGATCCATTTGGAAAAGATTGCTTTTTAACATTTTGTACTGAAATCAAGATTTTCAATCGCTAGTAGGGAACTGAGATCCCTTTCAAAAAAATATTTTTTTTGTGTTCAGTACATTAATACTTCTTAAAAAGGCTGTTACTCGGGACACTCTAATGTACATGTATGTATGTATGTATGTATGTATGTATGTATGTATGTATGTATGTATGTATGTATGTATGTATGTATGTATGTATGTATGTATGTATGTATGTATGTATGTATGTATGTATGTATGTATGTATGTATGTATGTATGTATGTATGTATGTATGTATGTATGTATGTATGTATGTATGTATGTATGTATGTATGTATGTATGTATGTATGTATGTATGTATGTATGTATGTATGTATGTATGTATGTATGTATGTATGTATGTATGTATGTATGTATGTATGTATGTATGTATGTATGTATGTATGTATGTATGTATGTATGTATGTATGTATGTATGTATGTATGTATGTGTCTATGTAACGTATACGCCCGGAAATTTATTTAGTTGGGATATTTTTTCTCAAATTTTTCGGTATTTGTTTTTTAAAATAATAATGTTCTTACATACAGAATGTCTATATCAAGGTTGGCAATCCGATAAAATCGGTGTTTTTGACAATAGAGTTCTAAAAATTTGCAACAAAATGTATTTTGGTGCAGTGGACCATTTTCAATCCAAAAGTCGATTTAAAATTTTTTTGTTGTTACGCACTTTTGCATTTCAGGTGACGATTATTTCAAGTATGTATATCAATCAATACCAATACTCAATTGAAAACAGTATTTAATGAAATTAATAACAGTATTGGTTGCCAACCTTGGTATATATACATTCAAAGCTTCGAAAGAATTAATAATTTATCAATCAATACCAATACTCAATTGAAAACAGTATTTAATGAAATTAATAACAGTATTGGTTGCCAACCTTGGTATATATACATTCAAAGCTTCGAAAGAATTAATAATTTTTTTTATTGAATTATCATTTAATAAATTATTAATTGTTTAAACGCATTTTCTGATATTAAATTCAGATAATTATTTTTTAAAGCTTTCAAGATATTTAACGAATTTAATACCATTTAACGTTAAATTTCTTGCGAATAACAGTTTTGTTTTATAAATCAAACCATATTTAAAGCCTTATTCATAACAATTTATCAAAGGTTTATAAATTTAATTTTCATACAAAATTTGCGTGAGCGTAATATATGGAATCATATAAATAAGAATTGCCATTCATTTACTCCTACAATGAATGAATTATATTTGAATCTAAGTCAATAATGCCCAAAGAATGTAACTTGTGAATTAATACCTTGAGTATGATATAAAGAATAGTGTATTCGTACATTTCAGGCGGAGTTGTGAATTAGTTTTAAATATAGTTCATTCTTACTAAGATCTTCATACATTTAAGTTTTTATTATATTCCGAGCATGCTATTATTTTATATATATACATTTTTATTTAAATTGTTCATGAAAGTTGCACTATATATATATATATATATATATATATATATATATATATATATATATATATATATATATATATATACATATATATATATGTGTGTGCATTCGTATGTTTTTCAGTACTTATTTTATTTTTTTTAACTTTATTATTAATTATTTATATTTTTATGTCTTTTTCTACTTTGTCAAACTCTCTTTTCACATTTCAATTCGAAATGATAAATTATGTTAAAAATGGCTCTCTTTTTTCGAACAAAAACAACCAAATTAATTAAAAATCTTTATTCTCTGAATGCTTTCCAACCCGTTTCCTCATATTTAAACTTTAAACAAAAACACTTGTCATCATTTTCTCTCTCTTAAACGTCATCTTAACAAACAGTTTTACCAGGTGAAAAGTTTGATACTATAAACGAAAGAACATTTTTTACTTTTTTGTTGTATTTTAGATGAAATTCTTCAACATATATTTAATATTAGATTTATGTGTTAATCTTAGATTAGAACTTAAATTAAACTGCGTTACATTAAATGTTGTAAAATAAATTTATGCATATTTATATTCAAAATCATATTATTTATTTTCATGTAAATTGTTATTATTTATTTAAATGTAAATTGAATCATCAAAGAGTTTTTAAAATGGTTTCGCTCATTTGCGAAAATTGCTTACTTGTTCCAATGCAATGATGTATCTCATCATTGCATTGGAATGGTTATGAAAATACTTTTATGGAAGATACCGCCAGTAAACATGTCCATTTAATAAAAATTTATTTAAATGTCGCGCTCGAGAGCAATTTAGAAGCAACAACATATAAATTACTAAACATTTTATTGAACTAGAAATATTAAGAAATGGGTTATGCATACTTTTATGTGTATCAAAAATTTAATTTCATGAATACTTTTAAACAAATTTAATTTTTCGAAAAAAAAATAATAATAAATAAAATATATCGTGACCCTATATTCAAAATGTGCGAACTCAATTTTGGGCAAAGTGAGTTTTGATGCAAAAGGATTCCTCAATGCATGATCCACGTCTGGTATAAATTTGAAACCAAAAAAGTAATTTTTGAACTTTTAACAACAATTTTTGTTAATATGCTATCTCAAAGTTAAATATTTATTGAAGAAAATAAGTGCTAACTTTCATACAAATTTTACAACATTTTTTAAAACTTCAAATTTATTTAAAATTTATTTTGTGTATTAACAAGATGAACATGCTGAACACAAAACAGGTGAAGATTAATAAATTGAATGTATAGTTTTTAAGATATGATCATTTATATATTTGTATATAAAGCCAGTTTTAGACTTTAAATAATGTTTTTCCGAAAAATGTAAAATTATTTCAGAAATCGTTTATAACACTAAGATCTATAATATTCTATGGTTCCAATTTAGAATTTTGATTATAAAAAAGTCTTTAAATGTGCAAATTATGGAGTATTATTCAAAAAATATTGGTACTTTTTATATTCAAAAACTTTTCATAATTTAAAATATTTGTACTGAGAATAAGGAATAGTAAACAAGCAGATATGCCATGAGTTTTTCTACTTAAATGGTGTAAATGCATCTTATTGGACTTACTGGTTTGACTTATATCCCTTTAAAAAAACATTTCATAAAATTATAAAATAACGCATATTATTACAAGAAATTTTTGTTCTATTCTTTGAACAAAACATGCTAGAACAAATATTTGTTTTTTTGTCGAATATTTGAATATAGGGTATCGATTTTTTATTTTTTTAAAAAGTCTAATGCGATGTGATTTTGATTCATAAAAAGTTAAAGTTTTATGTACGCACATTTAAGGGGGTATGTATAGTTGTCTGTGCCAATTCATTTCATTCTTATTCTAAGACCATCTAACCATGACCTAAACGGGAGGAGATAAAGAACAGACGTTACCCCTACACGAATAACTGTAGGGGGTAACGTCTTTAATAAAAAAGCATAAAATAATGCATAAAATGCAAAATTTAACTTTTTATAAATTTGAAATGATATAATAGATTCTTTTTCGTATTTATTGACCTACATAAAAAAATTTACTATTAACTAGGGTGATCGACTAGGTTTTTCAACTGGTTAACCGGTTTTTTCAAATGTCAACTATTCGAACTATTCGAAAACCGGTTTTTGAAAAATGTAAAAATTAATAATAAGACAATTTTTTACTAGTATCCAATCAAGCTAAATTCGTATTGAAACTTCACTTTATTGTGTTTTCTTTGAAATAACATTTTTTTTATTACATTTATTTAAATTACAATCCATCTTATTTTAAGATAATAAGCAATTTTGATAAAGATTTAAATTGACATTAATAGATGTACTCTAATAAGTACAAATATAAGTTTAGATAAAATCTTCTTTTTGACAATTTGAAATAACATAATTTTCATTAATTTCAAAATTGGCTACCAAAGGGTTAATTTTCACTTAAATTAGTTCTAATATACCTTTTTATGCCTTTGAAAACCTTCGTGAATTTCATTATTTTTAAAAGTTAATTGTATAGTCGGAAAAATATCTTAGAATAAAATCAAATTTTGTATGAAAATTCGTTATATAAACCTTTAATAAATTGTTTTGAATTAAACAATTTGTGTTTTTCAAAACACATGCAAAAGACATGTATCAAAGAGTATTTGAAAACCATAACAATTCGGTGGAAATTTTCAGTATGGATCGACTGAAGTAAAGCTGAGAGGTCACCATAAAAAACTAATTTTCATTCAAATATTGTGTATACTCCATAAGTTGCCTGCTAAAGGCATCTTATCACTTTACAAAGAATAGGGTGGTATCTTGCAATATCTGGAAGGACTGAAATTTATTTTCTCCAAATATATGCAAAACAACAACTGCTTTCCAAAACCACAGGGTATACAGAGGCGTCACGAGCAAAAAACTATTTCCCTCTCTTTCGCACAAAACGAATTCAATAATTTTTTTAGCTGTATTTTATATACCTCTTCTCACCAAACAATTTCAAAATCAAACAAAAGCTGATTTTAGACCTTTTTAAATGTCAAAAGTGACACCTCTGTATACTTTGTGCCAAAACGTCTAAATGCATTGTAAATATTTTAAAATATACAAAACTACAACAGGCGTATTGTGTATAGAACGCATAGCCGACTTAAATGATGCAATATATGCTTTTGTTTCAGTATTATTTGTTGCAAAACATATGTACAGTAGGGTAATAACAATTTTTGGCGGTAAAATACCACAGCGCTACCTTATTGCCAACACTGTTCTGATTATAAAAACCAATTTTTTAGGTTAATATTTTTAAAAAACTTCCCGCACCGAAAGTAATTCCTAAAATGCATTTATTCGATATTTTTACTAAAATTATTTTATACTATTTTCTGAAATATACAATATGCCGATTTATTTAAAATTTCTTAACATTGTTGTAAAGGACAATCCTCCCTATATGATAGTGTAGGTTAGGTTAAAATTTATTTCATCGCGTTTGGTGCGGGAACGTTTCGCAAAAATTGCAAGAAGTAATACCCTAATGTACAGTAGTCTCCCGTTTTATCGAATGATATAATGTCAGGCCCATTCATAGCTGTAAAATAATGATTAATAATCGTAATCATTATTAATTAGATTATTTTTATTAAAAATGTAAAATTAATGATTAATTAACGATTATTTTCAATATTTTTAATTAATTATTGATTACGATTAAAAATAATCGGGGATTAATTGGAATTAATGAAAATAATAAAAAAAAATCAAAATTAATCCAAAAATTAGTCGATTATTTTCAATGATTAATTTCGATTATTTTCCATATATTTAGTATAATTTCCTCCCAAAAAACAACTCTAAGAAAAATTTAATTATTTTTCCGGTAATCCGCAAAAATTACGGATTTTTTGAGACCCATTTCGAAAAGATTGCAGTAATTTTTTTCTAATATGTTGTACTGAGATCAAGATTTTCAATCGAAATAAACTTGATAAATACATTGTTTTCAATGAAATAGTCATGTAATCGAATAGTGTGTAACTTGAAAAACAGTTTTCCATTACTCGTAATGTAAAAAGATAGAGAATTGTACCAAATATATTGAAATAATCAATAAGAATCAAAATCAATCCTTGAAAATAATCAAATTAATTATTTGATTAATTCTGATTATTTTTGATTATTTTTATTAATTCTAATTAATCCTGATTATTTTTAGATTAATTTTGATCGTAATCAATTAATAATCAGAAATTTTATACCAGAGAATTAAATAATCATTACGATTATTTTTGAAAAATAATTTAATTGATTATTAATCGTAATCGAAATTTTACAGCTATGGGCCCATTCGTAATAAGGAATAATTCGTTAAACCGAATAACAACCTTTCTACGATTTAATGATTAAAATGAGGTAATGGACAGTAGGGAGTCTATTTTAAATAAATTTTAATGCACCCGTAAATTATTTGACCATTTCTTATAATTTTTCCTGCAGTATGCGAAATATAGAAATTATTATTATTTTTTTTTTTTTTTCGTTTAGAAAAAAGAACCAAAAACTAATGATTTTAAGAAAGAAACTGATTAAAATTATTAAATTATTATTGAAAATTGTTTAGAAATTCGTTATATAGTAGTACAAAATTTACTCATTAATTCGTAATATAAGGAAAAAATTGTCCGTTCGTTATATGCCGAATTCGCTAAAGTGAGTATTCGTAAAACTGGCATAATCCAAAATTCGGTATTTTTGAAGAAAAAAATGCCTGCACAAGACAAGAATTTGTTAAAAAATGTTATGTGCGTCATCATAACATAAAAGAGCATCAAATTTTGCTACAAGACATTTTTTAACAAATTGTTGTCTTGTGCAGGCCTTTACTACAAAACATGTGTCATGCTAAAGACTTTCCAATAGATTTATCAAATTTCAGATATGTCTATTACTTTCGGTGTGAGATAAATTTTTTCTTGTAAGAGTAAAAACTAAAACTCATGTTTTCAATAATATTAGATAAATAACAACAAAAGGTATAGTTGAGTTGAGAATAGTTGAGTTAAATGTGATTTGTTTTTCATAATAAAGCATTTATCTTGAATATTACCTTGGTTCCGATTTATTTAAGCAATTTATTGACGAAAAACACATTTTCTGAAAGAGGCTATAGGAGGGGGATAGGAGCAAATATAACAGATCTCGTAATATTAGTGTTTATAAGTGAATTGTGGATATTCAAGTCATTTTCTGAAGGGTACTTTTTATGGGAGCTATGGTCAAATGAGTCCCGAAATTCGACAAGGTCATCATGGCCTGTGTAAAACTTAGTTGTGCAAACTTAATTTATCGAGATACAATTATATTTGACATAATTATGACCTCAAAAGCCCTTTTCCGGGAGTTCTGTCGTATGGGGGCTAGGTGAAATAATGGACCGATTTTAAGCAATATCAATAGGCTTCGTTCCTTGAGCAGAGTATGAGCTAAATTTCATTAAATTATCTTAAAAATTGCAACCTGTACTTTGATAAAAACGTTTACAAGGACACACGGAGGGTCGAACGGATATCGTTAAATCGACTAAGAAAGCGATTCTGAGCCAATCGGTGGGTATATTTTACTGCGTTACAAACATCAGCTCAAATGCATTATACCCAATTTAGATAAGAAACATATTAACTTCTACTATCTGAATCCGGTTTAATTTTTCAAATCCCTTGATTTGTTTAAAAGTTATTTAAAAAAATAAATATCATTAAACATTCAAAGCCTTTTTCTTCGAAACGACTTTTTTGGATTATGTCAGTCTTGTAGTGAATGATCGATATGTCTAGAAATGCAATACATTGTCAAAATTTACACTGTTGCGATTGTTAATACGTGACATTGTTGTTTATCAAAAATTCGTCTGATAACATGGTAAGATCTTCCGATGTCCTGCAAGTCTGAGGGAAGTCTGCTAAAAAAAAACCTCACAGAAGGTATATTTATTCCTTCTTCTTACCACTAGATTAGATCAATGTTTTTTGCATCTCATTTATATTTAGCAATAATTTGCCATTGCTATTGAAACCCACCCATTGAATACCCACCATTCATCTTTGGTACATTTAATCTGAATTTTCCGATTGTACACCCATATATAGATTCATGTCATTTATTACCACTCATAATTGAACCAATGTAATAAATGATGTACATTGGTTCAATTATGAGTCGAAGAGCAAACCTTATCTATCGAATTTTATATTGATATCATAACTTTAAAGTATGAAAATATATATGTATGTATATAAAATGTATATATATTAAGGGTTTTCATTTAAACGCTTAAGTTTCCCATCTGTGCAAGTTTATTCGACTTGTTTCATGAAACCCCTGTTCAAATTCTGTTCAATTACAATATTTGTAAACATTTAAAAACTATGTCAAACGAAATTAAAAAATAAAAAATTAATTATTTAAACAAAAATATATAAAAAATACATTTAAAATGTGAATATTCAAGTGCTTAAGTTAAAAAGTGGTCAATACAGAGCGGTTTTATTAAATGCACAATGAGACTGTTCAAGTTTGCCAGCAAAGAATAATAAGAAGTTGGACTATGACATTGTTTTACAACAATAACATTTCCTTCTCTTCACAGACGAGTTCTGTGTAAATTCAACACACTTGTGAGAACTCAATTCTCTCACAATACTTCAAAACTTTTTCGCGAAAATACCGGGATAATAGGACTTGAATGACGTTTTTTCACAAACTTATAACTATTTTTTAATTTTTTACACAATTTTATCGCATTAAACAATCCGAAATATTTTTATTTTTCACAAACTAAAAAAATATTTTTTTAATTTTTTTGACAATTAATTTTTGTGTGTTGAAATTAAAATTGACAAAACAAAGTTGTATATTTTGGTATTGAAAATGAAAAAATTATTTAAAATAAACTTATTTTTTTGCAAAAAAAGAGATTTTAAGTCCGAAAAATATATTTATTAAATGTTTACTGATTAGATGTGGGCAAAATAAATTAAAAAATCTGCGAATGTAGAAATTTAAATGTTATTTATTTTTCCTAAAATATTTATGTACGATTTTATGCAAGTATGTATGTTTGGAAAGTGTGGTGAAAGTGGTTGGAGCTCCAATACTAATACAAAAATTCTACCAATACATACTTAGAGTTAGGTACCGAATGACAACTCCTTTACGTACCAACTGACAAGCCCCAATTTCTTTATATTCTTTGTTTGCCAGTCTAAATAGTTGCTCAAATTTATAAAGGTTGTGCAAATCAATTCCCATACAATTCAATTGCGAGAATGGAAACATGCACAGGTTGCACAGTTTACGAGGGTTTTGAACGTTTAAATGAGAACCCTTATTATGTTTAGCACTGAATATTGAAATTTCGAAAACAAATATTTATATTAATATACCATAGAAATACTTAATTACGTACATAAATTATTGTCATGCATTATATTTTTTAAATTTTCTTATAGTTTTATTAGTTTTAAATTCAACAGTTCCCGCAACAGGTTCTCTTCATTATTGTATGAATAGAATCTGCTACATGGAAGAACTTGAAATTTCTGTTACACTTTATGTCAGTGTATTATTAAAACTGCGTAAGAATTATGTGTACTAAGTAATATTTTTTTCTTTGTTTTATGTTTCTTTTTCATACAATATTGTTAATTTGTTTGTTCCTAAATAACTATTGTTGATGCTGTAAAACTGAATGAATATCCTTATTTTGTTGCTGCATGCTGTTTTTGTTACCAAATAAAACGTTTTAAATCAAAATACAAAATCAATCCATATTTTTGTATTATTTAACTAAATAAAATCGACCGCATTATTCATAAACATGTATGTATGTATATATACTATACTTATTATATTGTTGTATTCCTTTTTGTTTAACTTTTAAATGTAATAAATCTTTTGAAAATCGTTTAATTTATTGAGAAATATGAGATCCCGGAAATCTAATAACAAATTTCGTTTTTTTATCTTTCGTTTGTAGTTGTTTTGTTTTTCGTTTTTAACGTGGCAGCTTTTGGATCACGTTTTATTTAATCCGGCATTATGGATTTATACCCCGGCGAATGTTCAAGCTCGACTTTATTCATATTTAGCCACAGAATTTCTAAGCGATACGCAAATCTATAGCAATGTGCGACGTGTTAGTACTGTTTTACAGACAGTACATACTTTAAAATATTATTATTGGGTTGTGAATCCACGTGCTAAAAGTGGTATTATTCCAAAGGGGCTGGGTAAGCGAAAATGCAAGAGGCTATTTTAAATATGTTCAACTAATTCTATCGTATTTTCCATATTGATTAGATGGCCCTCGTCCAGCACAAAAAGATATCTTAGCAATACGTGCTTACATTCTATTGTTTTTGAAACAATTGATTATGATAGGTCAGGGTGTCAAAGAAGATGAACTGCAAAGCATTCTAAATTACTTGACAACCATGCATGAGGTAAATATCGCGATCTTGTTATATTGTCTTTAGATTAATGAATTACGGAATCTCTAGGATGAAAATTTACACGATGTTCTGCAAATGTTAATATCGCTTATGTCTGAGCACCCCAGTTCCATGGTACCTGCTTTTGATGTTAAACACGGCGTTAGAACCATATTTAAACTGCTGGCTGCTGAAAGTCAATTGATACGCTTACAAGCCCTTAAACTACTAGGATTCTTTTTATCGAGGAGCACTTACAAGTATGTTACATTCTTCATTCCCTCATCTACTTACTATTTATATGATGTGTATTTTTGTATGTTTACTTAATACATTGTTATTTTTATTTCAGAAGAAAGTACGATGTTATGTCTCCTCACAACTTATATACACTATTAGCGGAACGGTTACTTTTGTATGAGGAGTCACTATCGATGCCAACGTATAATGTTTTATATGAAATTATGACCGAACATATATCACAGCATATAATGTACAACAGACATCCAGAGCCTGAAAGTCATTATCGCTTAGAGAATCCAAGTAAGTTGAATTATTACACGCTCTTTAGATGGGAAAAGGAAAGAAACATGCTTCTTTCGGAGATTAATTTCTGCTTTTTAACCTTTATAACTATGTATATGTTTTAAATATATGAGAAATTTCATGTCAAGTGACCCAGCTCAAAAAATCGATTTTGACGAAATTTGCACTAAGGTTAGTACTATTGGATAGTACGTCAGGCACCAATTTTCAGCTCTATCGGTCAAGAACTGCCGGACTTAGAGGAGGTCAAAGTTGGACATTTTGGTCATAGAGGATTTTATTCAAATGAGTGTAACTTTTCACCTATTGGTCCTGCAAAAATTGTCCAAAGGAGTTAAGAAAGCTATTACTTCATTCTTAAAAAAAACAATTTGTAATTTTTTAAAAAATATTTTTTTTTTTGAAAATAGGCCCTTTTGACTCCGACAGGTCTTGACCGATAGAGCTGAAAAATTATGTCTGGCCTAACCTTGGTACAAATTTCATCCAAATCGGAAGACAGTTGGGTTACTTGACACGAAATTCCTCATACATTTAACTTATCTGCTTGATGTTTTTCATTTTATTTCAGTGATGCTGAAAGTAGTAGCTACTTTAATTAGGCAGTCAAAACAAACTGAATCTTTAATTGAAGTAAAAAAACTATTCCTGTCCGATATGACGTTACTATGTAATAGCAATCGTGAAAATAGACGCACAGTTCTACAAATGTCCGTTTGGCAAGAATGGCTAATTGCAATGGCTTACATTCATCCTAAAAATACAGAAGAGCAAAAAATTTCCGATATGGTATATTCATTATTTCGTATGCTTTTACATCATGCCATAAAATATGAATACGGAGGCTGGCGAGTCTGGGTTGATACATTGGCCATTGTCCATTCGAAAGTTTCATATGAAGAGTTTAAACTACAATTTGCTCAAATGTATGAACACTATGAACGGCAGAGAACAGACAACATAACTGATCCCGCCCTAAGACAGGCGAGGCCGATAAGTACCATAAGTGGATGGGAACGAGAAGAATTACAGCAGCAACAACATGGTATTGTTCACAATGCTCCATCTGTTGCATCCTTGGAAGATGTTCCCCAAGTAGATGAAGATGGCGACGATGAAATAGAAACGGAAGAATGTTTAAATAATAATCCTGAGAATGAAATAGATGATGTCGAAACGGAAAGAGACGAAGTTGAAGGCAAATGTGATTGCGCTCTCGAATCCGAATCATGTGGGAAGTCACCAGATTCAACAAAAGAGACCATCGTCAATGAAACTGTCAAGTCTAGTATATCAAGTGTGAGCGACGTTTACAATGAACACATAAAATCTGAGATAACTGTCACTGCCGTTAACTGCAATGGTAACTCACCCTCTTTCAAGAATACGAGTGCTACCGCAACACCCGCCAAAACGAATTCATCCACAGGACAGGAGGCATTAAAAGAAACGTTAAATATAAGCGATTTAGAGGATCTTGAAATTGAAAATGCTAAAGCAGAATCAGAAAGTAATGATGCTTACATTGAATCAGTTTTACAAAAATCTGAGAAATCTTTAGCCGACTGCAAACTATTGGCCGACGAATTGCAGGAAGCATCATCAGTTATAAAGGATGAAGAAATTGAGTTAGCCGTCAACGAAGTAGTACAGGGTGTATTAAATAATGAGAAGAAACAAATCAAAGAACCGTCCTCAGAACATTCATTAAAAATATCGGAAGACAATGCAACTCATACAAAAATAACTCAGCTCAATACCAAAAATTTGCTAAACAACAATATTTCTGATACAACTGCTGACCAGTTACCCACAGAAATAAACGCAAATACTGACAATACAAACGAACTGCCTGATGAAGGTGAGGGCTCCAAAAAGACTGAACAAACCGTGGTTACTGAAGAGAATAAATTGAATAACAATGCAATGCCGACAGCAATAGATAAGGCAACAGTGACACCAAAAGTGTCAGACCAAGTACCAAATGATGCAGCCGAAATAGAAGTCAGTTCGTCTTTATCTACTACAGTTGAAACTACGGAAGAAATATCTTCACTTAGTCCTGAAACAACAGTATCAAGTGCTTCGATGATGGATGAACCGTTGGCAAATTTGCAAGAATATACCGCTGAAGTTACCACAGTCAAAGACATTGTTGATGAATTAATAGATAAAGTAATTGAGATTTCCTCAAAAGACCAAACTCTAGAACAATTTGAAAACAAAAATCCTAATAATATTTATGAAAAGATCGATGAAAAACAGAATACAAATTTTGATACTAACGAAGAACTGTCATCGGAAGAATTTCTTAGTGAAACCGCTAAAGAAATTATTGAAGATGTTATACAATCAGCTTTAGATAAAGCTATTCCTTTAGATTCACCATCGGATAGTAATTGTATTAGTGAAAAGGAACAACTTGCTAACGAAAATAATCAAAATGTGGTTAATATAGTGCAACCTGTTGTTGATGATCTAGTAGAACAGACCGTTTCCGCAATAGTAGACTCAGCCGAGAAAAAAGTGTTAGAGGAGCATAAGAGGGAAATACTGGAATCTAAAGATCAAAATGTGTTAGAATTAGAAAATTCAGATTTAATATCACATACTGATGACAACACAAAAATACATGATTTATCACACGATAGTGTTAGTCAGGAGACTCAAACAAATCAGTCAATAGACTACATAGAAGAACCTATATCATCTCAGGACACTCATCAGCAACCTCAACAGAAACAACAAAGTGCCAGTACACAGGTTGAGAACCAACATTTCGGTAAATATTTATATTTTATTCTAAAATTTGTTATTTTTAAATTAAAACCATTATGCAAGTTAAAGATGTCATTGTTTATAAATCCTACGCACTTCGACATTAACATAAACATTTTTTGACTGAATTGAAAAATACGCAACAGTCTCAGTTTTTAAAGCTAAGTTAATGATGCCATATCATTAAATTTATTGAATATTTGTTATCAATCGTAACGCCAATATCAAATTCGTTTATAGTCAATTATTATCGACAGTCAACATATTTGGATTTAAACAAAGAAAGCTATCTCCAGCAGAGATTTCGGTTTTTTATGCGCTAATTTTGGAGATTGCTGCTTTGTTTAGTTTTCATACAAAAATGAATATTCTCAGCAATATACTACCACAATTTTTAGCAAAATATTTGTTAAAAACCTATAAGCAGGGATGGCAAAATTGGTACGATGGTACATTTTTGATACTATTTGATGTCCAAAAGTACCGTGATACTCCCGAGTCTTATTTAATACCCTCAAAGTATCTTCAAAAGACTGTATTATTCAAATATAAAATTCCGAGAATGCTTTGGCTCATACATACGTACCCAGCAAAAAAGTACAGGTCGCAATTTTGAAGATAATTCAATAAAATCTTCTATTGTACCTTAGACGAAATGGGTAACATTGGTCTAATATTTGACCTAGCCCCCATACAACTGAACCCCCCGGATAAGGCTTTTAAGTTCATAATTATGTTCAATAAACTCGTATCTCGACAAAAAGCTACAAAACCAAGATCTTCAAGGTGAATTTTTTGATGATAGGGCCTCATTTTTCTAAAAAATAGACTGTATATATTCACAGACGCTAGAATATGGATGGATTTTACCCACTGCCAGCAGTAAACTGAATGAACCTAATTAAGTGAGGCAAAAAATATAGCTCAAAAACGTAGTATGTTAGAAAAAAAATTATTAAAAATCAGCTATTAGGTATTGCGTTAATTTTTGTTTTACTAGTGATACCTAAGACATAATGTTATTATTTGAAATTTTAATATTACTAATTAGTCCATTATTTTTTTGCAAATTATTAATTTGTATGTACAGTAGGGAGCAGAAACGAGTATATGTTGGTACATTGTAGACTTCTATGGAATTAAAATGAAAGTTATAAAGTAAATCCAAAAACTAAAAGCCCCAAATTCTAATTAAAAAGCAGACAAAACTAAAATAACTCACATGTACTTAATTTTGCACCAACAAATTTTAGGAAAAATTGCATTCTTAATGTGTTTTTTTATCCGAATTTAATTCTATACATACGTTTTAGCATATTTGCTAGGAGTGAATCGGTATTATTTAAACCGCTCCTTCAGGATTCACCACAAATTATATTTTGAATTGGGTTCGGGGCATTGAGTATGAAATTATGCTCAGAACTCCATTCTTTACAATTTTTGATGTGTATTTTGGATCGTCACATCGCAGTGAAAATACTTCTTCCCCAGGATTATTTACCGAGAAGATTGCGTATTGAGGTCAAGAACTTGTACTGGATACTATTTCGGTAGGAAATTTTGCTTACTGAACCCTTTTTAGAGGTGCTTTAAAAGTGATATAATTCGCCAACCTACTGAAAAATAACTTCTTCGGATTGCATTGGCGCTCTTATAAACAAGGTTCTTGAAAACGAGTTTTCAAAACACGCAGATAGTCTGTTCTCATCATTATTTTCCCGATTCCATCGACATTCGTGACACCGTAATATAGAAAGAATTCAAAGGCAGCATGTTAAGGAAACACGGTATTGGCATGGGGTTGCTTTATATGGTGCAACTTTGGACCAAACAAAGAATCGATGAAGTAAAGAAGGACATTTTGGTATTTTTCAGATTTATCACTCCAAATTTGTAGTCCCATTATCACGATTTTATATTAAAAAGAGGCAATCCTGCAGAAGAATTAATTTTTCAATTGGATGGCGACCCAAAGTAAATGTCAAAAATCATAAAGAATGGTGTTTCTGGACAAATGTCTTACTAATGCAGTAAGCACTCAACGTCCCGATCTCAATTCTATTGAAAATTTGCGGTTAATCGTGAATTGGCGGTTGGGACAACACCGATTAGCCGGTCCAGCCAATTTGGGCAAACCTTGGTAGCGGATTGGTAATGAGAGAGAGGAGCATTTCAAATGAAGTTAATAAGAAATTGGAAGAATGTATGGATTTGCAATGTTAATATAATTTTTATTCCATTAGAAGTGTACAAAGTACCAACATGTACTCATTTGTGCTCCCCACATATGTATATATATTCTGAGTCTTTATGGATAGCAAAGTACGTCTGTCTGTTGAATTAAGTTTTTCGAAGACACGATCGGATTCTAAATCTTGAAGTTTTAAATTGAAGTTTAAATTAAACAAGTAAGAGTTCTATATTCGGCTGTGCCGAATCTTATATACCCTTCACCATTATGTGTTAGAAAACAGTCAGTACGAATTTTATTACAAAAAATCAAAAAATACCAATTGCAAAACGGTAAGGTACCAAAAAGGCCCCTTTTATGGGTTCTCACTTAATTCAGACTCTACATACTTAATTTCATGTTTCTAGGTTCAATATTATAGAAATTTAAAAAAGTACCTTTTGAAGAACGAAAAAGTACCAAAAAGTCCCCTTTTATGGGTTCTCACTTAATCCAAACTCAACAAACTTAGTTTCATGTTTCTAGGTTCAATAGTACCTTTCAAATAACGAAAAAGTCCCCTTTTATGGGTTCTCACTCTACATACTTAATTTCATGTTTCTAGGTTCAATATTATAGAAAATTCAAAAAGTACCTTTTGTAGAACGAAAAAGTACCAAAAAGTCCCCTTTTATGTGTTCTGACCTAAACCGGACTCTGCATACTTAATTTCATGTTTCTAGGTTCAATATTATAGAAAATTCAAAAAGTACCTTTTGTAGAACGATAAAGTACCAAAAAGTCCCCTTTTATAGGTTCTTACCTAGTCAAGGCCCTATGTACATGCTAAAATTCATGTTTCTAGGTTCAATATTATAGAAAGTTCAAAAAGTACCTTTTGTAGAACTAAAAAGTACCAAAAAGTCCCCTTTTATAGGTTCTTACCTAATCAAGGCACTACATGCAAAATTTCATATTTCTAGGTTCAATATTATAGAAAATTCAAAATGTACCTTTCTTAGAACGAAAACGTACCAAAAAGTCCCCTTTAATGTGTTCTGACCTAATCCAGGCTCTACATACTTAATTTCATGTTTCTAGCCAATAACAACGTAACGTAACGTGATGTTCATTCTTTGCTTTGTGTTTATAAACAAGAAATCACAATAACAAAAAAATTTACGGTTTGATACTGTGTTCTGTTTCCCAGCAAAAAATAATTGATGTCATACATTACAAACTACATCTTAATCACATCTTAAAATGCGATTACATATTTTTCACTTTTATAAACCAAATATTTCCTTACAAATGAAACCCCAGTTAAAAGTGAGGAAAGAGATGTGGAAAAGTCATTACAAATAACATATTTGAAGTACATCAGATTTGGTGAAAGAGTAGTGAAATTTACATAAGCGTGTCATTAAGAGAATGTGTTTTATTTTTGACATCCAAATATCGGATTTTTACTGCTTCTAAAAATAAGATTAGATGTAGTTCAAAGTTGCCAAAAATGAACAACATCCCTCCAATGACACGCTAATGTAAAATTCATAGGTTTTACACCCGAATTTGAAGCACTTCGGGTTACTAGTTGTGATGAAAATTCTACATCTTTTTCCACACTTTTTTTGCTGGGTTGTTAATTGTTTGTCTCGGATTTTTACTCATATCTTCTTTATTTATGGACCGATTGGGCTGATTTTAAATAGCGTTCTATTCGATCGTATTTCCGATAGAATTATTGAAAATTCGGATATCGCAGATAAATGGGGTCTTTTGAAAACTGATTTCAACATACACACAGACAGACGGTCAGACGGACATGGCTAAATCGACTCCGCCGGGTCGGAAAATTATAGAAATTACAAACGGAATGACAAACTTATATATATACCCTTCTCACGAAGGTGAAGGGTATAAAAAATAGGACATTTTGTCATTATATAGTAAAACACAATGAAAACAATAATAAGTGTTTCATGTAGTTGTTGTATTTGATTGTGTATAAAAAAATATAAAACCCCACAGAAAATTTTCAGAGTACTCGGAATTGTAACCAATGTTGTGCGCTTTACTTTGTGTTACTTATAATTTGATTTACTTGTATATAAAATCTGGATATGAAGTTTAAATTTTTAATATATTTTTTTTTTTTTTTTTGCATTACATCTTGTTAATCACAAGTATATTGATTAACATTGTATATGAGAACAGAAAATTAAAATATAAAAAAATCAAGTGTGCTGTACCCAACAGAAAATTTATAGCTTACTACATTGACATTGTGTTGTGTTGCTTATTTTGTATTCGAAAGTGCTTACAAACTTACACACACTCTGGCTTAGTTTACACAGGGTATGGCCGCTTGAAAATGACACACTAACTGATATACTTGGTTTGCAATATTGTGTGTAGATTATACTTTTTTTATAATATACTTGTGTGTGGAAAAGTAGCTATTCCTACATTCTTATCGATATACCTAGTAAGTTAAATTGTTTCTACAGCACCTTCCTAGCTGGAAAACAAATGTATCAAAAAGTATCTACAAAAAAATGAAAAAATGTTGATCCAAAAAATATTTTTCGATAAATGAAAAATTTTTTGTTGATTAAATTACAGCACACTTGATTTTTTTATATTTTAATTTTCTGTTCTCAAATACAATGTTAATCACAAGTATATAAAGATGTAATGCAAAAAAATTTTATTAAAAATTTAAACTGCATATCCAAATTTTATATACAAGTAAATCAAATTATAAGTGACACAAAGTAAAGCACACAACATTGGTTACAATTCCGAGTACTCTGAAAATTTTCTGTGGGGTAATTTAATCAACAAAAAATTTTTCATTTATCGAAAAATATTTTTTGGATCAACATTTTTTCAATGTTTAGATGAATTTTAAGCAAAATTTGTTGCTTAAAATTAGGATCATAATCTAGTGATGATTGGAATGGCCTTATACTTATGAATAAATTTGAAGATACATGTATTTATGTAGCATTAAAAAAAAACATACATATTTAGATACTTCTTAATACACATGTATTTTAACTAGAAAGTTGTTGTAGATACTTTTTGATACACTTGTGTTCCAGCTAGGAAGGTGCTGTAGAAACAATTTTACTTACTAGGTATATCGGTAAGAATGTAGGAATAGCTACTTTTCCACACACAAGTATATTATAAAAAAAGTATATTCTACACACAATATCGCAAACCAAGTATATCAGTTAGTATGTCATTTTCAAGCGGCCATACCCTGTGTAAAGTAAGCCAGTGTGTGTAAGTTTGTAAGCACTTTCGAATACAAAATAAGCAACACAATATCAATGTAGTAAGAACAACAGAATTGAAGAGCTTGGTATGCTACGAAACAAAAATATTGAAAAAAAATTATTTAAAGTTTTGAAAAATATTACATTTTTATTTTAAATAAAAATTAAAAAATTAAAGTTTTGGAGTATCTTGGAAGTGATGTTATTCCGGAAATAACATTCTTAACCAACACTGATTGGAAGATTCTTATTAATTACGTCCAGGAAACTGAGTTTCTGAACATGGAAAAATAATACATTCAGTGAACAATTTTTTTTCATGAATTAGAGCGCACAACAGGCCCGATAGTGGCCTAGGTGTATTTCTTCGGATTTGATGTAGTATACATCCTCCTATCAACCTAACCTAACCTAAAGTTTTGGAAACTTGATATTGAGATTTCATAGCACGCGCGATAGGGTAAGAAAATTCAGCGCACGCTACGTTGGTACGCCTACACTGTAGGTTTATTTCTTTTTCTTTAAGTGAGCATTTGATGTTAATTTACTCTGAACTTGAAAAATAAAATCAAATCAGTTGCTGATCAGCACTTGTCAAAGGTCTGTGCGCATTTTTTTTAAAAAGCACACAGAACCCCACAGAAAATTTTCAGAGTACTCGGAATTGTAACCAATGTTGTGTGTTACATACAATTTGAATTACTTGTATATAAAATCTGGATAAGAAGTTTAAATTTTTTAATAATTTTTTTTCATTACATCTTAATAAACTTGTGATAAACATTGTATATGAGAACAGAAAAAATATAAAAAAATCTAGTGTGCTGTAATTTAATCAACAAAAAAATTTTCATTTATTGAAAAATATTTTTTGGATCAACATTTGTTCAATGTTTTGATGAATTTTAAGCAAAATTTATTGCTTAAAATTTGGATCATGATCTAGCGATAATTGGAATGGCCTTATACTTATGAATGAATTTGTAGAATGTATGTGGATAGGATTTTTAAACATATGTATATATTTAGCTATAATACACATGTACATTACCACCACGTGATTGTCAATGTTGTATAAGTAATGAAAATATTTTTTTAGGTCATTTGGAATCAAAAACATCACGCACCAACCCCAATTTTTAATATAAAATGTTTCAAGTTTTTTCTTTTATTATTTTAAAATTTTAATATTTATATACGGCCATTTTTTACCAAAAAGTATACTTTTGTCACATCGCGACTTAACACTCTGGACTTTTTGATTTTTACGCTTTTTATAAAATTTAATTTGTTGATAATAGGTATTTGTTTTGACCATGTCTCCGATTCTTATAGACCTATTTTACTGGTTTTAAACAGCTAAATTCTTAAAAGCATATCTATTTCAGTTAGTTAAGATTTGGATTCCCGAGATTTATGGAGCCTTCAAAAAACTTATTTTAAAAAAACAGACGGACAGACATTCGGTGGATGAATTTTTTAACAACCGCGAAAAAGTAATGACGTAGTTTCTGACATTTTTTAATGGTCTATTCGACTACCCAGTAAAAATTAATTGATGTCATACTTTACAAACAACATCTTATTCACATCTAAAAATACGATTACATATTTTTCGCTTTTATAAACCAAGTATTTCCTTACGAATGAAAACCCAGTTAAAAGTGAGGAAAGAGTTATAGAAAAGTCACTACAAATAACATATTCGAAGTACATTAAATGAAATTTATATAAGCGTGTCATTGAAAGAATGGGGTTTATTTTTGACATCCAATTGGGTTTTTTCGAAGTTTTCAAAAATTAACAACATCCCTCCAATGACAAGCTAGTGTAAAATTCATAGGTTTTTCACTCGAATTTGAAGCCTTTCGGCTTACTAGTTGTGATGAAAATACTACATCTTTTTCCACACTTTTTTGCTGGGTAGTAAGTAAAATTGTTTCCATAACACCTTTCTAGCATTAAATCATTAGATTTTACTATAATTAGACATTTTTACTTAAACGTGTATTTTTTGAATTGACTATATTTGCTTTAAACAGATGATACGAAACAACACAACTATCCACAACAACAACAGCAACCGCAGCATCAACAACAACGTCCCAAATCTGGTTCAACTCGTCCAATGTTTAGCCCTGGCCCCACTCGTCCGCCTTTCCGTATACCAGAATTCAAGTGGTCATACATTCATCAACGATTGCTGTCGGATGTTCTCTTTTCTTTGGAAACGGATATACAAGTCTGGCGCTCACATTCTACAAAGAGTGTACTGGATTTTGTCAACTCGAGCGAGAATGCAATATTTGTTGTGAATACGGTACATTTGATATCACAACTAGCAGATAATTTGATAATTGCCTGTGGTGGCTTATTGCCTCTGTTGGCCTCTGCAACATCGCCAAATGTAAGAATATTTATAAATAAGTTCTAGTGTTTACATACATATTTACAGCGCACAGTAATATAGAAATAAAAAAGAGTCAAATAATTCTGTAACCTGTTAATGGACCTACCTCGTGCCTATCAAATATTTAAAACGTTTTTTTTTTGTTTCGAATTTCTTAATTTCTAAAAAATTTATATTTTTTTTTTTTAGAATTTTATTTTATAAAAGGTTTATAAAACAAAATTTCCATACGAAATTTGATTTATAAAGGCTCAAATAGACTACACAATCGGCTTGACAAATATACCAGTATTTTACGTTTGTGCAAGCCTGTTGTATAGTGTATGAGGGTGTTTCGTGTTTGTACAAATGCTTGCTGTTTGTTTGAACAAAAATCCAAATTCAAAACTTAAATAAAACTTCCTCTTTTCGCATGTTTCACTAGAATCGGAAACCGTTTAGAAGTTACAGAATTATTTCCCTCATTTTTATTTATATATCACTGTGCAGCATGTTAAAATGCGAATTTTGAAAATTATTTATCTTGATTCAATTTTTAGTCTGAACTTGATGTTCTTGAACCAACTCAAGGTATGCCCCTTGAAGTTGCCGTTTCATTTCTGCAGCGTCTTGTTAACATGGCTGATGTATTAATTTTTGCAACGTCGTTGAATTTCGGGGAACTGGAAGCCGAAAAGAATATGTCTAGTGGTGGAATATTAAGGCAGTGCCTACGCTTAGTTTGTACTTGTGCAGTACGCAATTGCCTTGAGTGTAAGGAACGTTCACGATATAATGTTGGCGCAATGGCACGAGATGTGCCTGGAGCTGCCCATCTACAAGCACTCATACGTGGTGCTCAAGCTTCACCCAAGGTAGGCGAATAAACGCCAAGTTTGTGATTATTTAATGGATGGACATAGCTTAATGGACTTCGCAAATTCAAAATTTAAATTTTTTCTATATGTATCTTAGAAATGTTTATGCAATTGTATCAATTTTTGCATAGAAAACTGTTTAGACGGGTTCGGGGGTAAGTGCAATAGGGGGTAAATAAAACAACATTATGTTACAATAATCTAACAAACGTTACAAAAATTAAAATTTATAAGTTTTATTAGTTTTACGAGTTTTAGGCCCATTATTATAACTTGCCAATAACTAAAGTTAGGAAGTTATCGTACAGATAATGTGTTTTTCGTTATTACAAGTCAACTTTAGCTAGTGTCCGATAGGCTAACGGAAAGATCACCTTACCTTTAACTTTTAACGTAAGCTTTAGGAATTTTCCTCTATTCCTCACTTTAATTAAAGTTATCTTTTATTATTACGAACATTAAAGTCAAGTTGTAATGTAATGGCCCTTAAACGTTTGAGTAAGTTTATAGTAACTTTAGATTTTTAACTATCCTAGTTTTAAGTTTTACATAGATGTTAGTTTTATTCATTTTCTTTTTGGGGATCTTCTACTGATTATCACTTTCACACCCTTCTTGTTGATGTTGCTGAATAACTTCTTTCTGTTGTTCACTTCTAACTTATTGAAGTTGACTTTAGTGATAGAATTATAGAACATTTTTTGTTCAATGCGTGTACACATACAATTAAAATTTGGAAATACATTTTAAATTTCCGATATACAATTGAAAGATTTTGAATTTGCTGAAGTAAAAATAGAAAATTTCTAAATTATATTTAGAATTTTCTGACAATAAACTTTAACTTAAAAAAAAATTAATTTATATTTGTAGAATATTGTTGAATCAATAACAGGCCAGTTGTCCCCAGTTAAGGATCCAGAGAAATTGCTACAAGATATGGACGTAAATCGATTGAGAGCTGTTATATATAGAGATGTTGTAAGTGATTTCATATGATTTAAAATGCCTTATTCCGCCAACCACTTGCTAACGTTTATTTTTTAAATTTTGGGAATATTTGTTTATTTTAGGAGGAAACAAAACAGGCTCAGTTTTTGTCATTGGCGATTGTGTACTTTATATCAGTTTTAATGGTGTCGAAATATCGTGACATTCTAGAGCCACCAGCTGAGCCTCAAGTTCAAAGGCAATCACCTGTTATGCAAAGATCTACAGGCGGTAAGAATGTTTTTAAATATTTTATAAGTGTATCTTTATGTTTGGGTTTAATTACAACAAAAATTATAAAAACTGCACAAACATTTTCACTTTTTTAATCAAGATTGACAAATTTGGTTTATTTATTGTTTTGTAATACGTGAAAGTAGTTTTATTTCTTAATACATACATTCCTCCATATGTATATTGAAATATTCACATCTATAAGTTTATCTTAATTTATTTAAATTATGTATGAATAATTTCATAATTTCTTAAAAAGGGGGTAGCTATTATTTTTATGAGTTCAATTCTTTTAAAATAATTAGACTAATTAGTTTTAAAATAATTTGTTTTTTTTTATATATTTTTAATTGAAATTTTAAAAAAACTTAAAAATATTTATAGATTTTTAATTTCAAATGTCAATGTTACCCTCTATATTTTGAAGTCAGAAAGTAAATGATGTAAAAAACCAAACTTTCATTATCCCTTTTAAAGTTAAAATTTTCTATCCGGCCTGTGTTAATCCCCTCATTAATATAAATATTTGTGTTTAATGAAAGTTCTCGTTTTTTATTATTGTCATTGCTAGATGTATTGCTAATCATTACACCCTCTTTATATTTTTCTCTGTTTATTTTTTCGTGTTTATTTTCCATGCTGCTTTTATTCGGATTTTTTGTATGATAATAATATTTACATAACAACCAAAAAAACTAAAACGAAAAAATACAAAATTATTTAAAATCCATATACATATAATTTTGTACTTAACCAACAACTGCATACATCAATAAAATGACTCTGTAAATATACATTCCAACGGAAATGTCATCAAATGTACAAATGTACTTCCCCAAATCCTCTACGTGTGAAATGATCAATATGAAATGTGTAATAATAAATTGGTTTTATTTTCATTATTGACGTTATTGTATATATTGAACCGATGATATCGTAATTTTTTATGGAAATGATGATGGAAAACAATTGTTTATATTACCATTCTATTTATAAAATTAAATATGTATGTATTCCCATTCAAATGTTCATAATGGTTTTTTATTTTTATTATTAAATGTATTCTTTCGATATTTTTCGGTTTTTGTTGTAACTTGTTTGTTTTATTTTCCGAAATATTATTTTTCGACATCCATTATTTCAAATTTTTCGAATTTTGAAATCACTATTCCTTGAGTAGAATCGTCAGGTCGTCCATTGTTTCCACAGTGGTCACATCATGTGTACCCACAATTTCTGCCCGGAACACATCATAATCATATAACAGCATCAAATATGCAACAACAGCCTACAATGCAACATCAACCACATCACCAACAACAACTATACTATCAACAACAAATGCCATCGCCGCCACATCATCCTCAGCTTCAACAGCAACAAACAAGTCACTTACAACACAATCATCATCACGTGACACATCAACAACAACATCAGCTGCAACAACAGCATCAACAATATTACCAAAGTCATAATCATACAATAAGTACTACTTCTTATGCAACCCATTGCCCGTCACCTCCTTTAGCAACACAATCGACAAGTCCTTCAACCTCTTCAACGAATACATCGCAGCCAGCTTCAACATCTTCTCTTTCAAGTTTGGCTTCACAGCCTCATCATAGACATGGACAAAAACATCAGTACCATCATCAACAACAGCAACAACATTCTACAGCATCGGGTCACTACAGTATGATGAATGGTAATCAAGTGTTAAATGGTAAAATTTCAACACCACAACAAAATCAACAACAGCAGGATCACAATGGAATCATCGGTGGTGTAGTAAGTGGCAGTGGAAGTAGTGGTGGAAATGTTGGAATAGATATGGGTAGTATGTCTTATCACCATCACTCACAACAATCATACATGCGTACATCGTCAGGCTTGATGATTAATGGTATAAATGGCACCACATCTCATCCGAACGGCATTGTTGATTACCACACACAACACGTCATGATAAACGGCCTTGCTACCAATCCCGTTGCAAATGGTAACAATACCAACAGTAGCGGTAGCTTCGTCTGTGGCAGCAATAATAATGGCAATAATCACAATTCTATGGCCATCATAAATAATGGCCGTCACATACGTAATGGTCATGTTTTGGGATCAGGTGCTGTTGTTAGTGGTGCTGGTGGGATGCATGTAGGTGGTTTAGGAATTGCTGCGTCATCTGCAGCCGCATCATCAGCAGCACCTTTAGGAGCTACAGTATATAAAAACAATAACGGCATTAATAACAATTATCGCTATAATAGCCGTACCCCAACTGGAACAGGTATTAATGAGAGTTATGTGTTCTGCTACTCCTCTAGTCTATTCGTCTTTTATTTTACTTTACTACATTTAATTTTGTATAGTTTTTGTTTTTCAACGTATGGATGTATGAGTGTATCCTCATCTCTTTTGTTAAATATGACAAGCAAATTTGGTGATTAAGATTCTTTTTTGTTTTCAACTTGTACGAATACAAAATAGATCTTTAAGATTTAAAATGGTTTTATTTTTATTTTCTTCCTTTTTTAATTAGTCACGTTTTAGTTTCATTTATATTCTTTGCTTTTAACGACTTAAATTGTTGTTTAATTTGTGTTATTATCAGTTTTAGTTCAGCATAAGTTTTAAATAAGATCTTGATTTTTTAAACTTTTTTTACATAAGAGTAAAACAGCTACCTCTTTTTTGTAATTATTGTTCACTTGTTCAATGGCGCATCCTAACTTGTTGAAAGCAAAATGCATTCCTTTCACAGCTTGAATAGATTTTATTGTTTTTAGTTGAATTTTTTATATCAAAAAAGCACTAGTTTACTGATGGCACAATTTAAACTCACCTTAAAGCACAAAATTGCATTATAGAAATGTCGTTACGTTATTGTAATTGTGATTATCAAAAAAAAAGTTAGAATATATTACAAATGAGCGATGTGATACTTATAGTTTGGTTGAAATACATATTTTTGGAATAATAAAACCTCTTTCCTACACCACTTTAGTGGGGAGGGTATATTGGGTTTGTGCTGATGTTTGTAACGCACAATAATATTGGTCCTATACCCATCTTAAAGTATACCAATCGGCTTAGAATCATTTTCTGAGTCGATTTAGGTCGCAATTTTGAAGATAATTCAATGAAATTTGGTAAATGATCTTCTGTTGTCCCAGGAACGAAGCCTATTGAAAATGGTTAAGATCAGTCCATTATTTCATCTAGCTATCATACAACTGAACCCCCGAATAGGGCTTGTAAACCTTGTAATCAAACTACAGGCCGCAATTTTGGAGATAACTTAACGAAAATTTGGTACATGATCTTCATTGGTACCGGAAACGAAACCTATTGAAAATGGTTAATATCGGTCCATTATTTCACCTAGCCGAATAGGCCTTCTAAGTTCTTAATTATGTTTAATATACTCCTATCTCGACAAAAAGCTGTAAAACCAAGTTCTATACTATATATATACTAGCCTTAATAACCCTCATGAATTTTATAATTTTAGGGCCTCATTTGACCCTAGCCCCTACAAAATGTCCCCTTCAAAATTTGACTTAAATGTCCACAATTTTATTTCACAATAAATGGCTTAAGTATATCTGAGACAAGGTACAATTCAACTGAAATGCTTCATTATGAAAACTAAATCACATTTTATTTTTGTAACAGGTGTATATTATATAGTCGGCCTCGCCCGACTTTAATTTACTTGTTTTTCTAATATAAAGCAACCTTACCAAAAACAATTTATAGCACTCATTTTAAATTTGGGGACTGAAATAAGCGATGTGTATACCTTTATAGCTTCATACTCTGCACATTTATGAAGATTTACCTTTTTAGCGGTGCCCATATTCAGTTCGATTCCCAAATAAAATAATTTAGACTAAAAAATAGTCAGTCACTGACATTGTATGAGCAAAAACAATGACACCGCGTCGCACTGGTTAAGGAGCGCACAACAGGCCCGATCGAGGCCTAGGTGTATTTCTTCGGATTTTATGTATATATGTATATTAGAGTGGGTCGGAAAAAAGTTGAGTACGATTAAAGATATGTTAATAACATTTCCAAAAATATAAAAAATATTTTTTTGCCACGCCTTTTTGTTTTTAATATATTACGTCGACATTACGCTCGACTTCTGATATATTGAATCCTTCCCCAAAATCTTAAATTGGCTATACTAGAATAAAGTACATTTAATTATATAAAATATTAGCTCACTTTTATGCATAAACAGCTATTTTACAGGTATTTAAAAATACCTGTATAGTTCTAACTACAAACAATTAGTTTGCTAGGGATATTGTCGAAAACTATTTTTTTTAAATAATTTACAGTACAAAAATTGCATCCTACCCATATCTTAACACAAGAAAGATTATTTTCATCAGCATTAGTTTTATTAATTAATAACAAAATCACGTAGGTACATAAAAACTAACCATTTTATTTTATAAAATTCAATGAAAAATTAAAGAGTTATGAAAATATTTCATGTTTTTTCCATACAACCACTTGCATGTTTCTTGTTTTTGTTTTTTTTTTGTTTTTTAACAATTTTGAAAAATGTTTATACTAATTTTTATAAAATGCTATAAATTTATTTTATGATAAATTAACCTTTCTTTTAAATAGTTACATATTTTTAAAGAAGTTCTTGAAATGTTTAAAGAAGTTTTTGAAATAGTTAAAACTAATAAAAAAAAGAATAGTCGGGAATGGCCGACCATATGATACCAGTTATGAGTATATCTAAAATGTGATTTCTTTTTAAATACAGCATTTATATTAAATTTTGTGTTAATTTTTATATACTATTTAAGCAATTTATTGATGAAAACTGATTTTCTGTAAGATACATATGGAGGGTAGGATCAATTATGGACCGTTCGTATCAAAATTTGGTAGAGGGATTAATGTTTGTTCATATAGGAGTTAGATATGCAGAATTTCAATATAATGGTAGTGTTTAAGAGGGAATTAACGACCTTGAAGCCATAATTAAGTATTCCAAAGCCCTATTCGGGGGGTACGGTTGTATGAGGGCTAGGGGAATAATAGACCGATTTAATCCATTTTCAAAAACCTTCCTCCTTGGGTAAAATGAAACATTGAGCCTAATTTTATCAAATTATCTGGATTACATGGACAAACATATAGTGCTGTAGGATATAATTAACTTTCTTCTTTTTTGGTAGGAAGTAGGATCTGAAATGGTTTGTAACTGAAAAAATAAAACAGGATTTCTGTTTTATAATTCATTTTCAAAAATAATTGTTTTCGACTGTTTTTCCTGGCGAATTAATCGTTTGTTTTGAGAACGGTTGATAATGAATATTTTAACATTTTTAAATATTTATATAATAGTTGTTTATGCATAAAAGTGAGCATTTCAAAAGCCAATATTTCATATAATTAAATGCTTTTTATTCTTGTATAGCCGCAATTTCAAATTTTGGGGAAGGATCCGAGATAACAGAAGTCGTGGCAAAAAAATATTTTTTATATTTTAGGAAATGTTATTAACATATCTTTAAACTAACAATATAGCCATATAATAACTATAGCAATTATAGAACAATCAATTGAAAAATCAAAACATCAAATATCGCGATTTGAAAATTAAGAATTGAAGATTATGTTAAAATTTCTAAGTCAAATCTAAAATTTAAAAAATATTTTGTTCAATTGCTTATCTTTCATTTTTTTAAAATTTTTTAAATTATATCCCTAAACTTATCCTAAATAAAATTAGTTCATTAGTACATAAGGCTAAAAGTCTCCATGATAAAATTTTCACTAACATATAGAAGAGATTTTAGGTGTCCACATACTATGACATTGAACTATACCTACAGTTTGAAAATTGACCTTTAACCTTTTGGAAGTTAATGTTTTTATTTACGTGATTTTTAACACAATATCTTAAAATAAAAAAATATGTTTGACTTTAAGAAGTTTCAGAATTATAAACTATTTTTCAAATTCCAAATCACGAAATTTTTACATTGGAATCAGTTTCCATTCAAAAAGACGATGATATGATGTTTAATTTATATTACATATGGGAAATTTCGTGTCAAGTGACCCAACTTTTAAAATCGATGTCTTCCGATTTTGATGAAATTTGTACCAACCAAGAACTGCCAGACTTAGAGGGTGTCAAAGTTGGATATTTTGGTCATACAGGGTTTTATTCAAATGAGTGTAACTTTTTACCTATTAGTCCTAGCAAAAATTGTCCAAACGAGTTCAGATAGCTATTTCTTCGTTGTTTCCAAACAAATTTTTTAATTTTTTTTTTCAAAATTGGCCCTTTTTGTGCTCAGAAGAAATGTTAAGGGAAATGTTTATAGTCCCATAATAGAATGCGAGTGGGATATCAAACAAATTATTTTTTAACTCTAGAATAAGATTTGTTTCAATATTTGGAACTTATTTTTCCCCTATTTTTTCGAAATGGACATTTTGTTGTTTTTTTTTTTTTTGCTTCAAAGAAAGCTTAGAGCATTTCCTTTAAGAGCTTTGTGGTCACTTAGTGGGGTGCAAGGGGCATATGTAAAAACATAATGAATTAGTTTATTTTTTAGAGATATCCCACTCGCATCCCACTAAGTAACCAGAAAGCTCTTCAAGGAAATTGTCTAAGCAAAAAAATACAATAAAAACGCACTTTTTGAAAAAAATGAAGTACCAAATATTGAAAAAAATCTTATTCTTGAGTTAAAAAATAAGTAATTCCCATCCCATTATGGGACTACTATGATACCCTTAAAGGAAATTGTATAAGCTTTCTTTTGAGCAAAAAAGGGCCAATTTAAAAAAAAAAAAGTTAAAAATTTGTTTTAAAACAATGAAGAAATAGCTACCTGAACTGCTTTGGACAATTGTTGCTAGGACCAATAGGTGAAAATTCACACTCATTTGAATGAAACCCTGTATGACCAAAATGTCTAACTTTGACCCCCTCTATGTCAGGCAGTTTCTGGCCTACTATCTATCAATAGTACTAACCTTAGTACAAATTTCATCAAAATCGATTTTTTGAGTTGGGTCACTTGACATGGAATTGCCCATATGCATATCGTTATTTACTACAACGGCTTTATTCATGTTTACATTCAATTTTACATCAAATTTGGGTGTTTGATTATTAGTTCAAATGTCACATAACCTCAACCGCATTCCTCGTATATTAACAACTCGTACATACAAATCACAAGGACATTTTCATCTTCACTTTTGAATTTTGCATTAATTTTTTTTAATATTGAACGAGCTGTTCATTTATATCGTTTTATATACATATTTTGTATTACAGAAATTTTAATCCAGCTTATACATATAATATACATACTTAATATTGTGTAAAGTTAACTTTAATTATTCCTTTTTTATTATTATTCAAAAATTTCCATAAAAAAGCCGGCCGCACTATCCATGACGGAGACTACGAAATCATTGTTGTTGACGAAAATAATCCCTCTGTGTTAGCAGATAATGATTCGCATTCCAGTGGACCACCTTCAATAAAGGTAAGCATACTACTTTATCTGCAAAAACTTCTACATTTATTCTTAACGTTTATACTAGTAGTTTGGTTTTCAACATTTACATACATATACATTAGGATGTCCCGTGGACCACTTTTTTTCTAGGAATACCGCACAAACGATGAGTACTGAACACGAGAAAAATTAAAAACAATTTTTTTGAAAGGTGCCTCAGTTCCCTACCAGCGATTAAAAATCTTGATCTAAATACAATATGTTAAAACAAATTGTCTGTAATTGCGACAATTTTGACACCTATTTCGACCAAAAATACTCTAACAAATTTTCAAAATTGTTTTTCATATAATCAGCTAAAAATTGGGGTTGGTTATCATGGTAGTTCGCGCAAACAGTCAAGTAGAGAAAGTTTTGACCAAAAATATTACGAAATTTTTGAGACCCTTTCGAAAGATTGCAGAAATTTTTTTTAACTTATTGTACTGAGTTCAAGATTTTCAATCGCTGGTTGGGAACTGAGGCCGCTTCCAAAAAGAAATATTTTTTTATTTTTCTAATGTTCGGTACATTAATACGCATCGATTGAGAGGTATTCCAATATGAGATTCTTTGAAGGCTGTTCCTCGAGACATTCTAATACACATACAGTGCCGTGCAAGAGTTTACACATGTTTGCAAATTTTCTTTTAAATTATTAATAAAATATTTTCTAGCTAAGATATTTCATCGAAAATATATATAATGAAATTCGGCAAAAATTAGTTTTACATAAAACGGAATGGAGCATTATATTTATTCCCCAATATAATGTTCCCTTCAGAACGGGATTTTCTTTACAAAAGGATCGGCCCACAATATAATGTCCTTTTCAGAAAATTACTTTAACGGCTAGTACTGACTTCAAAATTCCGCCAATTTTGTAGAACTCTGTATAAATATGTTTAGCTAAGATATCCCTACGAAATTATATTATTTTTCTACTTTTAAAATATTGGTATAGCTATGAAATTCGCCATAAATTAGAATTATTGTAACTAAAATCTCTCTACCGAATTTCATAAGGATCGGTCTATAATTGATTACTCTATATATAAAGATATTCCAACAAAAAAATTAATCGCAAGAAAAAGCAATTCCATTTCGTTTCAATGCATTAGGATCGTAGGTACTTTTTTGTAAGTTGTTGTTTATGTGGCGGAGAGTCGAATCGAAATGCAGAATACCAAAGTTGCCAAACGGAAAAAAAATCGATTCGAATTGAAATGCAGAATAGGGGTGATTACCTATCAATGAATCCAAATGTTAAGTATTATGAGAAAAACACTCAACAAGCAAATTTGTCTTTAAAATTCGGAGGAACTTCGTCCGTAATTAAACCAAGCCCTCATTAAAGATCCTATTTCAATATTCATATTGACTTTAAATTCACTTTAAATTTAAAAGTCATGCTTATATTGTGGTTATATGTATGTATAAGATTCGGTACAGCTGAATGTTACACTATTACTTGTTTGTTATGGCAGTGATGCCAAACAATAGTGATGTATTAAATTTTTGTATTAATATTTTGGTCTATAGGATTAACAGTTGCGTATGGAGAAAAACAATATTTATTTAGTTTTACAATTGTGGATATAGACCAAAGCTAACACCCGATATATCGGAAATCGTACCAAATATCGAGAAATGTGCCTCGGAATCGGAAAGGGGATGTCCGAATATATAAAACAGAACAATATACCAAAACAATAATATACTGACGACTTATAAAGTGGCAAAATATATCATGTCAAAAGTGCATGTTGCGATTTATAAATCTAATAAATATTTAAATATCTTAGCTAGAAAACATTTTATTGGAATTTTACATATTAGAGAATTGGCCAACATAAATATACATTTGTACGTAACAGTACGTATTATATTTGGATACAAGATCAGTTTATAAATATGATACTTATGATGAGATTTACATTTGTAACCTTCGAGAAATATCTTTTTCAATGTTCTGTAACTTCTAACTGTTTTTGAAGGGTTGACATGGTTTCATTTGTCCTATAATACTAAAAAGCCTGCAAATGTATTTTGATAGATAAAATTAAATTTTGTTTTAATAATCTCTAACATGCTATTCGGTTACCTACTCATTAATTATTCAGAATCATTAAATAACTGATTCCTAAAGTAACAACCTGTATGGCTTTTTTATATTTTTTATTAATGCCTGTATTTTGCACAATTTACATATTTTTTTTATTAATTTTTATAATGATATGATTTTGCCATTCTGTTTCTAAAAATATTAATTATACGCCGAATGCATGAAATTATGAAATTGCCACTGATATATTTAGTTTGCAATGATGTAAGACAATATCGGTACAGACGATTAAATTTTATAACAAAATGTTTATTCGCTTCTCAAAAATAATTAAATCACAATGAAGTCGAAACGAAACCAATAATAAAATAAAAAAAATGCAACACTGACATTTGCTAGTAAGATAATGTAAGATTTTGTAAAATTCTTGCATTCAGCATTTTTTGGGATAAATTAAAATGTACCAAAGTTTTGGATTGGAATATATTTTTTCTATATTATGTGACCAATTTAAAATTAAAAACCTTTAAAATTTCAAATTTCTAATAGTTTCAGAGATATGTTTAAAAATGTTAATGTTGAAAAATAATATTATTTGAACTTATTTGTTGTTTTATATTAGCTTTGTTCCAGAACTTTTCTGGCTAAAGAGAATTAATGAATTTTCTCTTCGTACTTATAAAAAGTACGGGAACAGAAAAAACAAAATTTCTCTTTCAATAAATTTGTATTGAAGTTTATTCATATAAATTTCTATTGAAATTAAAATAAAATTGAAAAACTACAATTACACATACTTATTTATGAAAGTAAATAAAAAATATCAAACATTTTTTGTTTTCAATGTTCTATTAGCTATTAGCTTTGTTCCTTTACTCAAGTTTGCAGGTTTTTACCAAAAATTGTAAAAGAGAACAAATTTGAGCAATTAAAATTATTTTTTCTTTGCCAGAACTTGCAGGTTTTAGCCAGAAAATTTTTTCCTGGCAAATAGAAAAAAAATTGTCAAATAAATTATTTGTTTAAAAAAATACATTAAAAACAAAAAATGTTTGATATTTTTGATTTATTTTCATAAATAAGTCTGTGTGATTGTAGTTTTTCAATTTTATTTTAATTTCAATAGAAATTTTTATGAATAAACTTCAATACAAATTTATTGAAAGAGAAATTTTGTTTTTTCTGTTCCCGTACTTTTTATAAGTACGAAGAGAAAATTTATTAATTCTCTTTAGCCAGAAAAGTTCTGGAACAAAGCTATTATTTGAAATGTTATAATTATAGTTTTAATATTTTGAAAATTTTTTTTAAGTACATGGACATTTTTAGTCATATCTCGGAAACTAGTTGGAATCCAAATCTAAAATTTAAACTGAAGCTGACTTGCCATATAAAAATTTAAGAAAAATTAATGAAAGATTTTTTCGTTTATTTAATTTTGAATTTTGTTTTTCAAAAAATTTATATTAGTAATTTTTCAAAATTTCTGAAAATAACTAGATTGAAGATTTTTAAGCAAAAAGAAAATTTTAATTATATTTAACACATAAAAAGGTAGTGGCTTATAATAAACAATGGTTAGTAAACACGTAGGTTAGAGTCAGCGCAAAAAATCGATGTTGGAATCTTGTTCGTCTTAACCCCACAAAGTGATTGACCTTTCCAGATATTGAGATAGGCGAAATTTGAGCTCGATTAATAAACGTTTACACGTGCCGCTCGTAGCTCAAAGTTTGAAAAAATCCAAATTTTTTACCAAAAACATAACATATGAAGCTAATATTGTACTTCAAAATTTATATTATATATGTACGTAATTGTTGTTACTTTAAGTCAAACAGAGTCTCCAAAAACGTGACCTGGTCGCGGTAGGAGCATACTTCGTATATTTTGATATTACGTGATAAATGTTGCTATTAGGTAAATATTTTATATATTATTGTTAAAGAATCACAATGTACATAGATAATGTTAAACACAAAACTAGGTTGAAAAATGTAAAAAAATATTCCCCAGACCATTAACGTGTCTCAGATCACTTGATTAGAAAATGTGGAAAAAAATTAACTTATTGTGGAAAATATTCTAATAAATCTATTTTATTACATAAAATATATGTATATATAATTACTCGAATATAAGTTGTTGTCCTTAAAAGATATCGTGAACCTGTTCTCAGCTGTGATCAAAAAAAATAATTTTTTACACGGCAGTTTCAAAACTCCATTTTCAGTTTTTTTAAATCTTTGTTAAACAAATTTTAAAATTTTTGAAATATTACCAGGACATTTATGGTTCATTAGGTCAATACCTCTTATAGTTAAGCTGTAGCTGCGATTTGAATTCTGCAAATTTCGCGAAAAACTAATTTTTTTTTTTTGTAATATTTTACAAAATATGTCCCAATTGTTATACATGTTAAACAAAATATTTACAGAATATTATTTCTCAAATAATATAAAATATGTCCCTGAAATTGTATATAAATCGGGAAATCCTAAGGCGTAAACTTTGGAGGTCAAAGGTCAAATTTTGCAGTATTTGGAAATTCTCATTGAAACTTATCGAAATATTATTTATTAAACAATAATATATTATTAAACAATAATATGTAAAATATTTACCTAATAGCAACATTTATCACATAATATCAAAATATACGAAGTATGCTCCTAACGCGACCAGATCACGTTTTTGGAGACAAAATCTGTTGTAAATCTGTTTGACGTAAGAATAATTATGTATTATGAAGTTCAATATAAGATTTGTTTTGAGGTACTAAGCGTGTTTCTATTATTTACCGTTCTGGAGTTATAGCTTCATCTGTTAGCTTTTAGGTCAAAAATTTGTTTTTTTTTTTTTTAAACCTGAGCGACAAGCGGCTCGTGTTAACGTCTTTTAATCGAGCTCAAATTTCGGCTATCTTAATATCTGGAAAGGGGAATCATTTTGTGGGGTTAAGACGAACAAGATTCCGACATTTTTTCTCCCCATATAAGATCCGGTCAGTCTAATGTAGATAATGACGGGAAAACAATTTTTTTAAGATATCTAAAAAACCTAAGAATATGTATTAAACAATTATAATTTTTGAAAAGCTAAAATATTTAAATGTTTGATTTTCCCAGGGGACTACCACTATTTTTATGTCAAATTCACATTTTTAGAAAAAATTCTCAAATTACATTATCGTATTATAGTAATCATATATATACATATTCTTAATTATCGAAACCCTTTACAACATAATTAAGAACGTATTGAGCCATCTAATAATTTGAAATCGACTATGCGATTTTTTGGAAAATTAATATGTTTCGGTATTATATTGTTTATTTATTTGATGTTTATTGGCTAAACCATATTGAAATATTATCTTGTTTTCAATCGAAAAAAACGAAATTAACCCCTAAACGTAAATATACTTTTATAATTACATAAAATTTCTTTAATATTAGAACTAAATATTCAATGCCATTTTGCGAGAAAATTGTCTGTGATAGAGAAAAACAGATTCGGTTTCAGCAACATTAAAATCAGTCTAATTGGGTTCAAAAATTTTTACAAACCTTCATTCGGTTAGCCCGTGTATTTAGTAAAGTTTTTCATGATAATTGAGTTTCAAAATTTGCATAAAGGACATTTTTCAAATTCTAAAGAACACCTTATTTTAAATTTGTGTTTAAAATATAGTGTTGAATTCGATATTCGCAAACCAAATTCAAAAATGGGTTAAATATGTATATCGTTTTATTTTAAGTTTATATACATACAGTCCAATAAAGTCTACATACAATAGTAATTATAATATTTGTTTAAACTTTAAAGCAATATTTATAAGTTTTAAATAATAAGTATATAAGATTTTAGCAAAAATTTTTTCAAATAAAGCCCACCGTTATTAGACTTATTGATACTGAGTGAAATAACGAATAAAAAATGTTCACTCACTCCTACTTTTGAGAGGGCGGGGTTTTTAAGTTCCATTATATTCTGAACCCAAAAAAAAAATTACGTTTTTTGATTAAGAATCATGCTAAAACCGACTTGGTGATGTTGTTTTATTTTTTTAGTTTCTATTTATTTTTTAACAAATATATTCCATTATTTAAAACTTACAATAACTGCATTCAATGTAAGAAATCTTTTTATAATTCCTGTATGTAGACTTTATTGGTTAAGATGTAAATCTAGAAAAAACACAGCTATAATATATTGAATGGTATATTCGTCATTGCCGTATTTGGCAATGATACATGTTATTTTTTATTTTATTAATTTATTAACAATATAATATGTAAACACATTGATACTAATGTTATTAAAAACAAATAAATAATGTGCATGTTTATTACAATTTAATTTAATTATTATTTAAAAAATTAAACCGACCCAATAAAAGAGTCCCAAATTGCAACCAAAGTCCCAAACAAATGTTACTACAAATACAACATCCGAAACTACAGTGGCCACTTCCACAAATCCAACTACAATTAATTCAGTATTATTGAGTAATAATAAATTAAACAAACTACAAAAACAGCCATTGTCGCCGCCCACACCCGTTGTACCACAAAAATTACCCAAGGTAAAAAACCAAAAACTACTCAACACAAAAACACTTAATCATTTGTAACACCATTCAATTAGAAATATAAAAGTACATTTAATTCACAAAACACCATTTTATTCGCTAAAATCCCACTTTATTTGTTTTCGATTAAAATATAAGTAAAAAAGTTTTCATTGATTAAAATGCATTCATTTGTAAACAATTTGTGTGCAGGTTTTTTGTTATACAATTTGGTTTTATTTGTGTTGTTTCATTTTATTTAAATTTGTGTTTCTATTTTTGTATTCATACAGTATTATGTATTTGATTTGATTTTGTTATTATTGAATACTGGGTGGCAAAAAAAAAAAATATTGCAAAAAATAAGCAAAATTATTCAGTTAATAAGTATTTTTTTATTTTTAATTTTTAAGCTGTTTGAAAGTTTTTATTATTTTTTTTATCCTTAATAATTTTTAAAACAAACATTATAATTTTTTAGTTTCTCAATTATTTTAATATGATCATAAGTAAATTAATTGAGTAAGATATGTAAACAAAATTTACAAAATCTAACCACAGCAATCATTTACTACAAGACTGATTTAACTCAAAAAATATACATAGCTTCGAAAGAATGGCTTTGTATGGAGACAAATAAGGTACTAACTAACTATTGACCCCAGGAAAAAGTTTTTGAACTGGGGTCAAAGTTAAAAGTATCTTGCAAAGACTTTTCATATGGTACCAAAATTGAATATAATTTCTTTGTAAGAAATATGGAAAAAACATTTGACATTTGATCCAGCTCACCAAATATTGGCACCACAACATAAAATGTATATATCTGTAAGGCATATGATTTTTTGCTGATGTTTCGAAAATGCAGAAATATTTAAAAATCTCCAATCATGTCCAAAACATTATTTTATGATGTTCCTATCTTAAATGAAAGTTTAACTCATTCTAAGAGTACGTTTCTTAAAGTCGTTCGTCAATGCGTGAGATAAAGCATATTCAAGATATGATGGAAAATTGTTGTAAGTCCATTATTTGAAATTTTGTTTGTTTATTTTTTTTTCAAACATCGAATATTTTAAAATTGCATTAGATTAAATTTATAAATTTAAGAAAAGTACTCTTAGATTGAATTAAGTTGTTATTTTAGTTAGAAACATCAACTTTTGTTTTGGGGTCATACCAACTGTATTAATTACTTTTTCATTTTGAAAAATTTTAGGCCATTAAAATTAAACAAAGAAATCTTCATAAGAATGAAATTCTTATGAAGATTTCTTTGTTTAATTCTAAAGTTTTTGTATTTATTGCTTTACAAACCAAAATTTTATAAAGTTGTTAAAATAGAAACTCAAGAAGTACAATACATTGTACCTTTTTTAAGCATCCAACTCCCACAATATTTTGTACTTGTTTTAAAATAACATTATAATAAAAACGAATTATATGTATATATGTAGAACGTCTTAAAATACGTATTAAATGTCAATATTGATTAATTCTGCTTCGATTGTTTTTGTCTGATGTTTATTGGTTCCATACACTTTTTGACATGCACGCTTTGTTCATTGTTTTCAACCACATGTTTGTGTTTGTATACGCACATTTATTCATATATAGATAGATTTTTATATGTATTAATGCGTACACATACCTACATATGTATGTATGTTCGTATGTACAGTACGTGGAATTAAACGTGTTGTTCGTGTAATTTGCCACAACCAATAATCAATTCCAACCACATTCATTCTTATTACAGAGTGATTCGGAATGTAATTCACTGAATATGAACTCAACTGAAAACGAAGTTCCTGAAGTGGAATCATCAAGTGAAATTATGGTTGATGATAATAGTAAGCCCATGAATTCAAATGATGAAAGCTGGACAGATGTCAATTTAAATGAAGATGCAAGTGTACAGGCGTCAGCTACAGGTATAATGATGTCCGGTGATGCAAAGATGCGGGCTATGGGTGGTATGCATTCAGCGCATGGCAGTCATATACAAAATACTTCACATGTTGTCGGTGGCGGCGTCAACGAAAGAGGAGATAAACCGGATTCGGAAATTTCTGTAGTTAGAGTGCCAGATGGTTATGCGAATGCAACAGGCGTATCTGGTAATGGTGGAAATGTTGGTGCACAAAGAAGTTCAAGAGCAGAGGATTTGCCTATGAAACCACCTTTAGTCGGTCAATTGCCCATGACTACTCCATCGCGAGAGGCTAGTCTTACGCAGAAGTTGGAAGTGGCTTTGGGACCCGTATGTCCTTTGCTAAGAGAAATTATGGTGGATTTTGCACATTACTTATCCAAGACTTTGGTGGGCTCTCATGGACAGGAGTTGCTGATGGAAGGCAAGGGTTTAACTACATTTAAGAACTCGCACTCTGTAGTGGAGCTGGTGATGTTGCTTTGCTCACAGGAATGGCAAAACAGTTTGCAAAAGCATGCAGGACTTGCTTTCATTGAACTTATTAACGAGGGTCGCCTACTGTCACATGCCATGAAAGATCACATTGTGCGAGTAGCAAATGAAGCTGAATTTATTTTAAATCGTATGAGAGCTGATGATGTTCTAAAACACGCAGATTTCGAGTCGCAATGTGCACAAACTTTGTTAGAGAGAAGGGAGGAAGAACGGATGTGTGATCATTTGATTACTGCAGCTCGACGAAGAGATAATGTTATTGCCAGTAGATTATTAGAAAAAGTTCGCAATATTATGTGCAACAGACATGGTGCCTGGGGAGATTCTTGTGGTAGCGTCCAAAAGCAAACCTACTGGAAGTTGGATGCGTGGGAAGATGATGCCAGAAGACGTAAACGTATGGTACAAAACCCCAGAGGCTCTTCTCATCCTCAAGCCACTTTGAAGGCTGCGCTAGAAAATGGTGGTCCAGAAGATGCAATTTTACAAACTCGAGATGAATTCCATACTCAAATAGCTGTTAGCCGAGCTCACCAAGCTACCCAACACACTGCCGATCTTTTAGACGATGCTGAACTTCTAATAGAAGACCGAGAACTCGATCTAGATTTGACTGGTCCTGTTAATATTAGTACTAAAGCGAAACTTATTGCTCCTGGACTAGTTGCTCCCGGTACTGTATCCATAACAAGTACGGAAATGTTCTTTGAGGTTGATGAAGAACACAACGACTTCCATAAAATAGAGGCTGAAGTTCTCAAGTATTGTGATCATTTACATGGCAAATGGTACTTTTCTGAAGTTAGAGCCATATTTTCACGACGATACCTCCTGCAAAATGTCGCTTTGGAAATCTTTTTAGCCTCTCGCACTTCAATTTTATTCGCGTTTCCTGACCAACACACCGTAAAGAAGGTTATTAAGGCTCTGCCGCGCGTAGGAGTGGGCATAAAATATGGCATTCCACAGACAAGACGAGCTTCGATGATGTCGCCACGTCAGTTGATGCGTAACTCGAATATGACCCAAAAATGGCAGCGCCGCGAAATTTCCAATTTTGAATACTTAATGTTCCTTAATACCATAGCAGGTCGCACATACAACGATTTAAATCAATATCCTATTTTTCCTTGGGTACTGACTAATTATGAAACCAAAGACTTGGATCTCAGTTTACCGTCAAACTATCGAGATTTGTCAAAACCCATTGGAGCTTTAAATCCATCAAGAAGAGCATACTTCGAAGAAAGGTATGAATCTTGGGAAAGTGATACAATACCACCATTCCACTATGGAACTCACTACTCTACTGCAAGTTTTACACTTAATTGGTTGGTAAGAGTGGAACCTTTCACGACTATGTTCCTTGCACTGCAAGGAGGTAAATTCGATTATCCAGATCGCCTTTTCTCTTCAGTTAACCTCTCATGGAAAAATTGTCAACGCGACACTTCAGATGTCAAAGAGCTTATACCAGAATGGTACTTCTTACCGGAGATGTTTTACAATTCATCAAGTTATCGATTGGGCCACCGTGAGGATGGAACGATGGTCAATGATGTTGAACTGCCGCCTTGGGCAAAGACACCTGAAGAGTTTGTGCGCATCAACCGCATGGCTTTAGAATCGGAATTCGTCTCATGCCAATTACATCAATGGATTGATTTAATATTCGGCTATAAGCAGAGAGGACCTGAAGCTGTTCGAGCCACCAATGTATTCTACTACCTGACATACGAAGGCAGTGTAGATTTAGATGCAATAGGAGATCCTGTTATGAGGGAAGCTGTTGAAAATCAAATACGCAACTTTGGCCAAACACCCAGTCAACTGCTGATGGAACCTCATCCACCCAGAAGTTCGGCAATGCACTTATCTCCGATGATGTTCAGTGCGATGCCCGATGATTTATGCCAAATATTGAAATTTTATCAAAATTCTCCAATCATTCATATATCAGCAAATACGTATCCACAACTATCGCTGCCTTCAGTTGTTACTGTTACAGCAGGACATCAATTTGCTGTAAACCGATGGAATTGTAATTACACGGCTTCCGTCCAAAGTCCTAGCTATGCAGACTCCAGTCAACAGCAGGGAGCTATGAAACCTTTAACAATTGATCCCGTCTTAAGTAAGTATTATTCTGTACACATAATACCCAAACAGACTAACAACAGTATTTTTACTTCTTTCTAAGCAGCTGCTCAAAATACAGCTAACAATAATCCAATGAATCGTAGACATTTGGGAGATAATTTCAGCCAAATGTTAAGAATAAGATCCAATTGTTTTGTAGTTACCGTGGACAGTCGTTTTCTTATAGCTTGTGGATTTTGGGATAATAGTTTTCGAGTGTTTAATACTGAATCTGGTAAGAATGTCTCTTACCTTATTTATAATTTATATACATATGAATGTTCTTCATAATAAATACGAATTAAAATTTCAGCTAAAATCGTGCAAATAGTTTTTGGCCATTTTGGTGTTGTGACATGTTTGGCACGATCTGAGTGTAATATCACATCAGACTGTTATATAGCTTCAGGTTCGGCCGATTGTACTGTTCTGCTATGGCACTGGAATGCTCGCACACAAAGCATAGTAGGAGAAGGTGATGTTCCTACACCCAGAGCAACATTAACTGGACACGAACAGGCCGTCACTTCGGTTGTGATAAGCGCAGAATTAGGTCTAGTGGTATCAGGTTCTACAAGTAAGACACATCGTAATTTTTTTTGTTCAATAATTGTAATTTAAATTGATACAAATTTTATATTTGCCATTGTAGATGGGCCCGTTCTGATTCATACAACTTTCGGCGATCTCTTGCGTTCTTTGGACCCTCCAATGGATTTTCACTCCCCAGAATTAATTGCCATGTCACGTGAAGGTTTTATTGTAGTCAATTATGACAAGGGTAATGTGGCAGCCTATACTATAAATGGAAAGGAATTAAGACACGAAACCCATAATGATAACCTACAGGTATAATATTCTGGAACTTTGTCTACTATGATAAAATATCTCAATGATTTTATTCTTATTTTATCTAGTGCATGTTACTCTCACGCGATGGTGAATATTTAATGACAGCTGGCGATCGTGGTATTGTTGAAGTTTGGCGTACTTTTAATTTGGCTCCTCTCTACGCTTTTCCAGCTTGCAATGCCGGTATTCGTTCATTGGCTTTAACTCATGACCAAAAGTAAGATATTTAATTTTTTTATAAAATTAATAAAATAATATATAGTAAATCAACTTTATTCTGAACTCTACGACAATGGCGAATTTATAACAAAAACTAAAATTTATTTTCATTTTTATTTTGCAATTTTTAATATTAGGTATTTACTCGCGGGTCTGTCTACTGGCTCAATAGTTGTATTTCATATTGATTTTAATCGGTGGCATCACGAGTATCAACAGCGTTATTGAATCATCTATAATTTTTGTCATTAAATCAAAAAGAAACAACACATTATAAAAACATCAAGAACATGGGGTGCAAAGCGTAAGTCCATTCGTACTTATAATTCTAAATAATTTTAGTTAAATACGTATCTGTTTTTATGAAAGTAAAAACTTAGATTTCTTTAGGTTAGAGAGTATAAATTCCAACAAAAAATTACTTTTATTTCGCTTTAACATTCAGAAGTAATAATGAAGGAACCATGTTCCAAATAATTTTAGACATTATCTAACTCCAAAAATTGAAGAAAAAACAAAACACTAAACATAGCATAGAATGAGTTACAATTGAAACTAAGTGGCCAAAAGTGAACGTACTAAAGTAGTATTAATACAAAACAATTCATAATTATAAAAAATAACAATTTATTAAATTAAAAAAGCAAGTGTTAAAGAGCATTTAGTGTTAACTGAAAAAAAAAAAACCTATTAAGGCTTATACTAGAAGGTTTTTAAATTAAATATAATGCACTTTTAATTTTTATACATAAAAAGTTAAAAAATCTACACACACCCTCTGATATATACAACGCAACAGATACACAAACCTTTTGTACATAACAAATAATACATATTTTTAACAAACTTAAAAAAGAAATCAAGATTTCCTTTAAAAACGTTACAAATAAACAAAAATAAATTAATTAATTTTATGTTTAAAATTCGTCCATTATAAAAAGAAAATAATATTTAGAAATACATAAACTTTGAGTATTTTATACATTGTGTGTGTTAAGTATTCAGAAAAAAAAACGTCCAATTATTTTTTGTTGTTGTCTATGAGACTTTGTTTCTTTAGTATATCCTTAACTTATTTATCCTCAATCCCTCCAGAGTTGGGTTATTTTAACCCCTTTTTTCTATCTCTCTGTAATTATTTAATCGTCTTTAATCCTATTGAAATTGGTTGTTATTTTTTTACTAAGTATAGACAAACATAAAAATATACTACTTCTGTACAATATCGTCAGCTGAAATGCATTTTCAGATTACTTACAGAAAACAAACTATTTGCATTTATAAAGTATTTTTTATGATATGGCTTTTAATAAAATGTGTCACAATTTATTTCAAAACTTGTTTTAATTTTGTTATAATTACGAGGATTTGTATTTCAGCTAAAGATATTTATGTATAAGTATAATTTAGATATAATATTTAAATAATATTTAGTTCAACACTAGGAAATTTGTAAAACAACAATATCTAAAAAATCATTAACATTTATTTAAAAAATATTGTCGTATGCACCATAAGTATATGTTTCAATTATTGATTACTTGTTTTATCGCTTTATCATACTTAAATATATATTTGTCTAATATTTTTTTATTCCCAACCTGAATGATTTAAATTTTTCATAAACAAGAAAAACAAAAGTCACAACACGCGCATTTTAAAGAATATTTTTAGTGCATGAATGTATTTTAAAAATACATAAAAACAATTTTTAATGTAATTACAACTATTCTGTCCACATTGCAATTTTTTATTCATGTTTAAAGTAAAAAATAAATAAAAAAATTATTACAATTAAAGAAACAAAAAAATAGAAAAGTAAAATATATAAATACATATGTTTATGTAAATAAGTAATAATTAATTAATACTATTTAATTATTATTATATATGGTGAGGGGTTTGTTTTCAAACAAATAAATTTATTTCAACAAAATAATAATTAATGTAAATATAGCTTAGAGAATCAAATAAAAATTAAACGATTGAAGGTTATGTACTTAAAATATGCCTATGAATATTTTTTGATTTATTTCTTTTTTCTTATAAATGCATATAAACAAACATGCATACAAGCAAACAAACATACATCTATTTACATCGTACATATTTAAAAACAAAAACAATAAAACAAGATATTATAAAAGCGTTGCCTCAAACTTTTATTATTGAAAATTAAAATTGGCTGACTAGTACTTTTGAATAAATAAATTTATTAACATACAAGCACTACAAAGTAATAATTACAAAAAATATCTCGTTTGGGAAATGATAAACAAATCTAACTACATACATACATACATACAAAAGTACTTAATAATAAAAAGTTTAATTAATATTCCCAAAGGTTTAACATAGTTTTTTAATTAAAGCTTTTTTTGCTGCAAAGAATTTTTAAGAAATCAAAAAATAATAATAATAATAAAAGTAAAATATTAAATATATTTTGTCAATCATGTTAAAAGTTTACTAAATACAAAGTAAAAGCTAAAATCAGATAATTAAAGACAAAGAATTTTATATATATGTATATATATATATATTCATGCATATATATACGATAAATTATTTGCTAAAACAATTATAAATAAATAAACAAAAATAAATAAATATTAAGTCATGTGAAGCCTATAACTCTTATGTGCAAATGCAAAACAAATTAAACATAAAATTATACAGAAATAAAATTACAAAAAATATTTGAAAACCAAACCAGAAATGGCGAAGTTTTATAAATTATTAGAGTACTTGAAGACATAAAAATTATTTAAAATTTGATAGAAATAAAATAAAGCGATAAATAAACACATTTTACCACACTGAAAGCACACACCCACACACATTCAAGCATGGAAAAACACAATGCATATGCTATGAAAATAAGTAATTAATACAATTAATATGATTATGTTCAATAAAATAAATTCAAAAGACAATTATTACATGATTTTATTTAAAATGCTTTCGTTCTTTTTACTAGTGCTTTTAAAATAATAAAATTAAAGTTAATGTTTGTTCTCAATAAAATTTTGTTTTATTAATAACACCGTCCGACAAAGAGAGAAAAAATTCGTTAGACATGAACCGGATGACATACGTCTGAAACTATAAATTTAATGGAGAAAAACTGCGTGTTTAGTTTTCCATTTCGTGATCCTGTGTCCTTTTTAAAGACTTCAAAGTTTTAAAGAAGCACATATTTTAAAAAATATTTTTAAATACTTCTACTGATAAACAATGTCAAATTTGATGTCAATAGAACAAGAAGAGTTGGGAAATATTTTGTATTATTTTTATTATATACTGTCAGTATGAAAATATGTCAAAAATGTATTTTACAATTTTTATCCTTTAATATATATTTAGCTTTTCAATATTACTTTTTCAAAAAATTTTCGACATCTTTTGATCCTGACAGAATATAATAAAAATAACACAACAACAAATTAAAAACTGCTTCATTTAATCTCTAGTTTCAGACTTATATGGTTCTAATTTTGAGTGTCAGACGGTGTAATGCTAGTAAAGAAATGAAGCGATAATTGTCTAAAAGAACAGCAGACACTAGTACTAATATTAGAAGTAGTTGAAAGGCACCATTTGCAGACAGATTTTTATTTGATATGTTTTGGAAAAAATAAATTTTTAAAATTATTCAAATGTAATGTAATGTATTCAAACAGTTCCTTTAAATACAGAGAATAAATAGTGAATGACTGTTTAGGTCCAGTTGAATGCAGATCCCAATGTAAGTAAGTTTGTTAAATTTAAAAAATTGGAATGGAATTTTTGCATATAACATTCTCCACGATAACATCGTTGGCGATACGGATAGAAAGCAGAATTTGTTCAAACTTTCATTTTGCATTGATGGGCAAATATATTTACAAAGTTTTTTATTTTAATTTTAGTCATTTTTATAAATAAAACCATATAAAAAACAACTATGAATATATATTCGGACATGGCCGACCATATGATAACCTACACCAGTGAGTATGTTAAAATGTGAATTATATTTTAAATAATAAAGCATTTAATTTGATTCTTACCTTAATTCCGGAATATTTTTAGAATTTAGAATTTCATCGTGTTATTGGTGTTTATAAATGAATTTTGACCTTCAAGTCCTTTTCTGAAGGAGGGTTTATATGGGGGCTAGAGTCAAATTAGTCCCGATCATTAAAAAAATCGGCAGTGTCATTTAAACTTCTATAAAACAAAGTTTTGCCGATTTTTGTTGAAATACTAGAACATTTAACATAAATATCAAAAGCCCTATTCAGGTGGTACAGTTGTATGGGGGCTAGGCGAAATAATGGACCGATTTCAACCATTTCCAATAGCGTTCGTCCTTGGATCGAAAGAAGAGTATGTGCCACATTTCATGTCTACTAAATCTACTCAGAAAGTGATTCTGAGCCGATTGGTATACTTTAAGGTGGGTGTATTTTTGGGTGTTACAAACATCAGCACAAACGCATAATACCCTTCCCACTTTAGTGGTGTAGGGTATAACTAATTTTGTAATAATTTTCACTTGGATCCTCGCAGGAGCATTACAATGTAGCAAATCCACCAATTATGAGGACTTTTTCTGAACATTAGAGCCAATAATAAGCTGGTTCAAGTGTGCTAGTATAAGTTTAGAACTAATGGTACTAGTAATTTTCCATACACACTCAATGTTAATTTGAGCATTAAGATGGTATAGGGAAGTTTGCAGTTGGGAACTAGTACTGGTGATTTTTGTACTAGTAAAATACTAGTTTGGTACTAGTTCTATTTCCTTCATACTATCGTATGAAGTCAGGTCGGGTGTCGTGACATTACTAAATGAATTGGATAAATACAACAAATTAACATTATGCCCATGAAGGCCATTCTGGCAACGAAGGCGCGGAATGCCTAGCAAACGGGGGCGCCTATCGCCCATTTATCGGCCCCGAATCGTTATGTCCTTTTAAACACGTGTAGACTTACTCTCAACTATGCCAAATCTGTTCGCGTGAAAGTTTTTTCAAAAATATTTTTTTTAATATTTTTTAAAAAAAATTTCAAAATTACATTTATTCATATTATTAAACAAAATTTTATGAAATCAATAGTACTAGGGTTACAAATCTGTGCAAAAACCTCATTCTTTTCAGGCTTCTCTATAAGGATATCTTCCCAAGAAAAACTTACATTGAAAAGTAATGAATTAAAAAGCTAATAAAACCTCTTTTCACTACTTCTTCATTAGCATTTTAACTCATTACTTTAACACGGTGATGACATTGAAGGCAAGTACTTCCACATTCGCTTAGAAATTAGGAGTTAAAGAAGTACTTTTAATTTATCTTTCAAAAACGTTGTTGAGTAAGTTGTTTTGTTTTTTAATAATAAAACGAGCCAGCGAGAATACAAACCAGGGATTTCGGTTTGTTAGTCAAATGTTCTACTCACTGCACCCAAGCGTGTTTTCACATACAAATTTAATTTTTTTTTTTTTTTTTTTTTTTTTTTGGAAAACACAATTCTTAACACACAATTAAATAAAATATACAGACAAAACAACAAAGCCAAAATTAAACTACTTCTGTATCAGATTAAAAGAAAATCATTACCAGAGTACTTACAGACGGTAAGTAGTTGTCATTGATTGATTTTTGAGTAAGTACAAGTCATTACAAAGTCGTTTTTGCTGGGTTTATTGAAGTAATTATTAATAACGTCATATTTCACTTTTTGACAAATTATGTAATATTTTTAACAGATAGAATTTTTTAAAAATATCTTGGAATTGTGATCTTAGTATTCAGAATACTGCAATAATTGGAGTATTACAAATGAAGTTATAGAAAAATTGGTAGAAAGTATACTAAGAGGTGTAAGAATTGATTTACGTAATAAACATTTTTGGAAAAATAATAAAAATTTAACTATTTCGTAAAGTTGTAGTGGGTGCAAAATAGTATATATGGGTGTTATATCCGTTTTATCTGCTTTTTACTTAGAATTCGCAGCTTTTTGGTTTGAATCGTAATTAATTTTGTTACATAATAAACATTAAATTAATGACAGAACAAATTTTTGGATTTGAAATATTAATTTAATTTTTATAAAGAGTGTACACAGTGTCAACATGTATTCATTTGTTCTCCCCACCATATATACTTTTGTGGATCTATGACCAATATTTCGATGTGTTACAAACGGATAGTGGATATAAAACTAATAATACTAAATAAATTAAATTAATCATTATTACAACTTGGCAATAACTAAAGGTAGGGTTTAATAATGCAGATGAAGCATAAGGAGATCTTTGCGTCAGCTTATCTTCTCTTTTAAATTTAATTTAGAAAAAAATATCAAAAATTTCATCACGATACTACCTAATATTTGTAGGTAAATTATTAAAGTTAAAGTAATTTTCTGAAGTCGACTTATATGGGGGCTAGGGTTAAATGCTGTCTGAAATTCGTAGAGGGATGATTATAACGAATTGTATGTATGTAGGTATGTATATATTAGTATTTTATAGGAACATGTATTACAAACGTAATGACAAAAGAAATGCATTTCCTTGTAAAATGAGAATTAATGCAACTTCGTTGCCTAAAGCAGCTAAAGGTAGTAGAACTAATCAGAGCAGGAATAAAAACACAAATTTCGCTAAAGTGGTTTGTTTTCAAAAAGTAATACAACATTTTAGTGCTTAGCAATATACCGCATCGTCAATTACCTAAGTGGATGCAATCATATCTTAATAAACCAAGAAAAAAAAAAATAACAAGGAAAAATAAATTAAACTTACTCTTAAATGGTTAGTAATTCAGTTCTACCACAAGCAGTATAAACTTTTGAGCTCATAATTATGTTAAAAGTCTACAAAATCGGCAAAAACCTAGTTTATAACTTTAATGTAAACGTAAATCCCTGTACCAAAATATATAAAGACAGGCCCTTATTAACCCCCCTTTTAGAAAATTTATTTTCTTTGTTAACAAATTGTTAAAACATTTCGAAGTTCAGTTAAAAAACAACGTAAATTTATTTTTTTTTTGTTAAAAAATTGTTAAAACATTTCGAAGTTCAGTTAAAAACAACGTAAATGTTTTATTATTGAAAAATAATCGACATTTTAAACATACGCAGTGGTATACTTTCTTACTTGTTTAATATTCGTGTGTTATTAATTTATATTTTTTCTTTAAGAAAATGTCAAATCCACCAAATTTTTATTTTATTTGGTTTCCAAATATCAACCATTTCTTGTCAAGTGACCCAACTTTAAAAATCGATGTATTCCGATTTGGATGAAATTTGCACCAAGGTTAGTACTATGGGTAGTAGGCCGAACACAAATTTTCAGCTCTATCGATCAAGAACTGCCGGAGTCAGAGGGGGTCAAAGTTGAACATTTTGGTCATACAGGATTTGATTCAAATGAGTGTAACTTTTCACCTATTGGTCCATTCTACCTATTACTTCATTCTTTACAAAAAAATTTAATTTTTACAATAAACTTGATATTTACATACATATTGAAAATTTTTTGATATTTAAAAAAATTCTAAAAAAAAAAAAAAATACTAGGTTCCATCTCTGAAAATATGATATTAAATTTTACAGAGTTTTAGTTATTTTTTATATTATGCGTTTGTGCTGATGATTGTAACGTCCAAAAATATTGGTCCTATACCCCCCTTAAAGTATCAGCTCAGAATCACTTTCTGAGACTATCCCTATATGTGTCCATATAAACTGATTTGGCACACACATCTCTCTCTCTCCCTAGCCACATACAATATATATCCTTCAGAAAATGCCTTTAACACGATAAAATTTAGAATAAATATAATTTATATAAAAAAACATCCATTTACCAAATTTTATGAGGATCGGACCATTTTTAAACCTCGCCTCCTTGTAAACCCTCTTTCAAAAA